TCCTTTTTTTGCTTCGTTCCTGGTGAAGGGTTTTAGCCACGGCTCTTGCACAGCTTTCGAGCAGCTTTTGCACGGCTTGCGTGCAGCTTTTGCACGGCTTTCGTGCAGCTTTTGCACGGCTCTCAAGCAGCTTTCTTGCATCTTTCGCGGGGCTTTCGCGTGAACTTCGCCCGGCTTTCTCGCCGCTTTCGCGCAGCTTCCGAGACGGACGGCGCCTGCTTCTTGTCGCCGAAAGCCAAGGGAAAAAGGAAGGGAGGGGAGGGCCGCCGCGCCGGCTTTAGTGGCGCTGGTCTAGTCTGTCCACTGGGATTCTAAGCAGGATTAACACCCCTCCAGGCCCTCCAGCCGCATTTAAATGGACGGCCGTTAAAACCGGCCCGGCCGCGTCGGTCCAGGGGCTTTTTGGCGGGGCGGGGCGGGGCGGGGCGGGGTGTACCGGGGCGGAGCCCACGGGGCTTGTCGAAAATGTGACAACCTGAAAGAGCGAAAGATGAAGGGCGCGGCCCGAAAGGTGTGTTTAAGACTGGAGCCGACATCCCCCCGCAGAAGCGGCGGTCGCCAGAGAATGTTGCTGGTGCCTGGCAACTTGTTCGTGAAGCGTTGCTGTCAGCGGAGAGCGCGAGCGTGCTGGCACAGTTAAAAATCGTCCAACCTCGCTTCCATCTAAAATTTTCAAAGGAAAACAGCAGGAAACCTATTTAAACCAGGGCCCGATCATTGTTTTGAGGAGCCAGTATACTTGTCCTCCCGAGGTAAACTCGGTGGGAGGGGGAAGGGCAGCACCAATGAGCCTTATTCACCCCGGGCATGATCCTATTGCCGTCAAGTAGGCTGTGAGCGTAGCCGTAATCGGCCAAACTTTCCAGGGCGCCCAACCTGGCGGGGCCTGGCGGGGGCCGGCGGTGCGTTCAAAGTTTGGGCCGTAATGTTGGTAATGCACTGCAGGCGGGCGCCACCGGGCCGGCGATTGGTGGATGCCTCGTTGTCGCCCCGGCAACGGCCGCCGCCATCGGGTCCGCCATCATCGCCGTCTTCGAGAACAACAGTGTGCTAGAGGCGGCGGATCCAGCGCCGAAAGCCAGCGGGGCACTGTTAGCCTACTTGCAGTGCAGGGGCAAAGTGTGGCTTCTTGCCTACCTCTCCGGCGGCTCCGCCTCGTGGAGGCAGCTCTGTTGTTTTCCGCTCTTCTAGGCGCTTGCTGTGCCTAAGCTTTGCCTCCGCCAGCCAGGCAGCCAGCCAGCGGCGGCGGCACTGACCTCCAAGGCCTGGCTCGGCCTGGCTGGGCCCGGCCCTGCTGGAGTCACCCGACTCGGCCTGTTTAATGGATGGCTGCATTTCATTATTCAAAAGCGGGGCGGGCCAGAGCGGCCGCACGGACTCTGGAGGCGACGCCGCACCACGTGCGCTCTCTCTCTCTCTCTCTCTCTCTCTCTCTCTCTCTCTCTCTCTCTCTCTCTCTCTCTCTCACGCACTCACACACAGCGGCAGACACACCTACACACACACACGCTGGGGCCGCAAACACGCTGGCTGCCGCTGCCACTGCACTGCTACAGGTGTGATGCTCGTAAAACAAATCTTGAGCGTGTCAAGATAGCGGCACGGCGTGGCTCTGCCTGCTCTGCCGGCCCTGCGGTCCGCGAGAGGGGGGGAGGGGGGAGGGGGTGTGCCGGCATGGGATAGCGCACGGGATGGAATGGGGGTAGTCGTGGTGGATTGCTGCGTCAGGTTCGCTTGTATAAACAAAGCTGGCCGGCAGGTGGCGGGGCGGGGCGGGGCGGGGCGGGGCGGCCTCGATAACGGCAGGCCATTGAGCGCGTCATGTCGATAAGGGCCCCGGCCCCAGCCTTCCGATACCACTTGGCGGCACGGCCGGCGGCCTAGAGGCGGCCTAGAGGCGGCCTAGGGGGAGCCACTGCGAGCCACTGCCGCCTGCCCCGGTCTTCTTGACCCTCGCGGCGCCGCGGCGTGCTACGACCCTCGCCGAAATCGCGGCTTGCTTCGCGATGTGCGAGAGAGAGAGAGAGAGAGAGAGAGAGAGAGAGAGAGAGAGAGAGAGGCGTGGACCAGCCCCTCCCGCCACTCACGCGCACACACACGGTCGCACACGCGCGCGAACACACACTCTCGCGCGCTCTGGCGGGGCCTGGCGGGGCATATATTTTCCAGTCCACGCCTTTATGTGTGCCCGATAACCCTGCCTGGCTGCGGTGTCATGAATCAGCCAACGTATCCTGGCTGTTTGACAGCAACGAGGCAGGGGAGGGGGGCGGGGGGCAGCTGGCTGGCCGTTGGGGGTGGGGGATGGCCGTAGTGCGGCTACAACACAATGCAACAGTGGGACCTCACACACACCTACACACCTACACACACACACACACACACACACCGACTGCCAAATGCCCGCGCCCTCCAGGACTCTGCGTCCGGCCATCCAGGGCCGCTTGGCCGGCGGGCCGAGGCCATGCCGCCGAGCCCTGCGCCGCCGAGCCCATGACCCATGAGCCTGACCCAGATACCGCAGGGTGAAGCTAAAAGTAGCTCCTCCGTCATGAGCTCCCGATGCAGTCATGCAGTCCCCGGAGCACGACGGCGGAGTGGCGTGGCACGGCCAGCCACGGCCACGGCAACTCTTGGGTTCAAAACGCGTCTGGAGTTTCGGCCGCCTCCACCAGTCTTCCGGCCCACCGTGCCGCGCTGAGCCGCCACGCGGTCTCCTCCGAGTTGGCGAGTTCTGCCGCAGTGCCAGGTCGACCGAGGCCGCGACCGAGGCCGTCCCAGCCCACCTCTTGGCCGCGCTGGCCGTGCCGGCGGTGCCATGCAAATGAACCAATAAGCCAAATGTACAAACATGGCGCATGGCGCGGCGGCCCTGGGCTGGGCCGTTGGGCTGCTAGCGCTGGGCCCTCATGGGACGGGTGCGGCGTTTCAGCAGTGTGGTCCCCTGGAGCACTCGTCGTCCCCCCTGGGCACCCTGCCGCACCGTGCCGCACCGTGCCCTGCCTCGCCGTGTCCCAAGAGCCATGAATGGAGATTAGTATGCACAACTAAAACGTTGATTGATTTGTTGATTCAACTCACCCAGGGCGTAGGGCATTTCCTCATCGCCGTGCTCGCAGCAGTCTCAGTTTGACCAACTCATGAACCACCGGCTCTTTTATCGGAGCCCTGGTGAGCAGTAAGTAGAGTTGATTGGTTTCAAACTGGATTGCCGTCAGAGGGTCCCCGTCACAGGGTCCCCGTCACAGGGTGCCCGTCACAGGGTCAACGTGGCGTATTAATTGGAGCAAGTGTTCGCTCGCTCCCCCAGATGGTTCCCTTCGGTTCCCTTCTATTTGACGAACACAGGACGGAGTCGGAGCGGTGCGGCGGTGCTAACACCTAATCCACTTTCGCAGCAGGTGCTCGACTCGGAGCGGCCCGGCCCGGGGAGGACAACAAGCAAGGGTGGAGGCAGCTCCCGGGAATTAATCGGTGTGGGCGCACCGGTCCGGCGCACCGCTCCATTTAGCGCACCGTTATTTTATTATCATTATCATTATTAGTAGTATTATTATTCCTCATAGTATTATCGATCCTGGACGCTCGGCCGTGTTTCGCGCTGTGCACCTCCGTGCCTCCGAGCAAATCCTCCCCCGCGGGGATCGGCCACGTCCGCCGGTCCGCGCGCGTACCCAAAGAACTTGTCAAAGCCACACCGGAAAGGGCCTTCGGGCCGTCGGGCCCTCCGCGACGCGGCCCTGGTTACCCAGTGCTACCCACAGTGGATTCGCCAGAAGACCGGCGGAGGCGGCCGAAACTCTAGACGCGTTTTGAGCTCCAGGCAGAAACAGTGAGGCCGAAATTTTGCAACCGGCTCGCCGTACACGTTTTCGTGAACCTGCCTGCCAGCCGGGATTCCTTGATGCGCTGTGTGTGTGTGTGTGTGGTGTGTGTGAGAGAGAGAGAGAGAGAGAGAGGGGGGGGGGGCGTCATCGCGTCCCCCTCCCCCAAATCACACGAACCAATGAGAGGCGTGCCACCTGGGCAGGCGCCGCCGCGCCCACACTGGCAGACGTGCCGGTCACTTCCGGCCCCGTTCGGCTGCTCCCACCGGAAGGGGGGAAAGAAAGAAAGAAAAGGTAAAAGAGAGAGAAAGAGAAAGAGGGAAAAAAGAATGCATCCGCCAGGGACGGTCGTGCCGCATCGACGAGAGAAACGGAGCCTCGAGACGGCGTGGCCGAGTTCCGGCATTTCGAAATCTGTTTCCGGAATCATCATCATCATCGCCACGTGTGGATTTTCTTTTCGTTTGTTCTCGAATGAGGGAGGGGGCAAAGAGTCGGCTACGTCGTTTTTTTTTTTTTTTTTTTTTTTAAACTTAAAAGCGCTCCAAGATGTTTGTTAAAATCGGAAGCACACTTTTTCCGGTTCCGAAAAAGTAGGCAAACGTCCCTCTCTCCCTCCCTCGGCTTGGGCTCCCCGAAGGCGGAAGGTGGCCGCATCCATCCGAGAGAGATAGCATCAACACGCCCCATTATTTGACAATTGTTTCTAAGGTTACTGTCACAGACGCGGCCTTGCCCCTCCCCCTCCCCTCTTTTCCAGTGTCGTGCCAATGGAACGTTAGAGCCCGCTAAGCGCGCGCGCGGGCCCCGACCGACCAGCAGAGGGCCGAGTCCAAAAACAGCGACCCCCTCTGTCTCTCTCGCGCTCATGGGGCGTGGCGTGCAGGTGCGAGAGAGACTTTCGGCCTGCAGGGAAGGCCCGTATGACGCATCCGTCGCAAGTTTTCCGTGCTGTGGTCAACCCGTCGGCCTATCTGCCTTCATCGGTGCATTTCGTCCCCAATCATTCGTAGCCAGTCGCCCCGAACGATCAATCTCATTCTCGATGCACCCATGACGATGTGCCGCTCGCCTCACTGGCGGTTAGGTGTTTCCTTTCCTTCCTCTTAAAAAGAAAAAGATAAATGCACTGATTAATTTTTCGTTTTATTCCGGCCTTCTATTTCAGATCCCAAACCACCTCACTAGTAGGCAATGAATGAATCAAGGGCATCGTAAGTTAAAAGCCTCCTGGGTATCCTTTGAACCCTTTTTTTGTTTTGTTTTTGTTTCGTACACTATTTTCTTCACAATAATTTTTACGTCTTTCATCATATACATTTACTGTTTCCGCTTAGACTAGTTTGGTTTTTTGATGATATGCTTTTCTTACTTTTCTTTTAATTTTTGAACCTTATGGACAAACGAAAATCCCATGCAAGAAAATAACTATGTGTCCTGAAGTGCGTATGCTATGGTCCACTGCCTGTTGAGAGGGTCTACCAGAAACTAAAGATCCTTCAAAATTCACCTCTCAAAAATGCTGCATTAATCTGTTTTCTTCCAATAGCTGTCAGCATAATAAAACTAACATAAGGCGCCATGGTGATGATTTTAAAAAAGTGACTTAAATAGTATTGATTAACTCGAAATCGTTATTGTTTGTCTTGCCAGGAGCGACACACAACACAAAATGTACCCCTAGTTCTTGTATTTGATAATTTCGTTGCATGCCAGTTAACAAGTAGAGTTTTACTGTAAATAACATTTAAAGAAATTTTCTCCAAAATCATTACAAAATTAAAATTTGTATGTCAGTATTCTACTATTTTCCATTACGTATTCCGCATTTTTATATTATGTAGTCATAATTTTGGACGCAGTCTTACTATCGGTAATGGTTTCTCATTGTTGTCTTTTGCAACTTTTGAAATCTTTGCGAAGTCGATTCGTTCCTCTGGACAAAAGATGATGTCCTCATTGGACCCCGACATTTGGCACTTTCTTGATCAAATATTTAAAAACCTCGTAAAGTGCACTTTAATCTACGGATGCAGCACCAGTGCTTCATCACTCATGTACACCGTAAGAGGGTCCGTACTGTTCTGTTTTTGTATTATACACTCGCTGCCCTGTAGAAATAAGCATAAACGATTCGTAGACTACTAATTCTAGAATCATTTCTCCTTTCATCCATCAATTGCCGTTGCTCGGTTCCATTCAGCCACGACACAATCAAACCAATTGTGACTAAAGTTTATTAAAAACAAGTCCAAGAATGCTCCATAAAGTCCATTCGTTTCATCGACGCCCCATACCACACACACACACACACACACACATACATACAGAAACGTTTCTTCAGCGCCTCTTCTTCGGACGCTCCGGCCTGACCGCGATCTCTTTGCCTTGTTGCAGTGAACTCGAAACCCCTCACCTTCGACGAGGTGTACAACCAGTCCAGCCCGACCAACTGCACCGTGTACTGCGGGGGGCTGGCCGCGGGGCTGTCCGAGGACCTCATGACGAAGACCTTCGCCCCCTTCGGCAACATCCAGGAGATCCGAGTCTTTAAGGACAAGGGCTACGCGTTCATCCGGTGAGTAAGCAGAAACGATGACATTGTTAAGTGTTTTTTTTGTCAGGAGGTAGTTCTCTTAGTTGCTTTTTAATTTATTTCTGGGTGATTTTAAGTTTAACGACTTGTGCGGGGGAGTGGGGGGATGCAGCGAATCGTCCGTACCGGACCGCGCGGCCCTTGCGCCCCTAGCGAGCTGCAAAGGAATAATGACCTCTGCAAGGCTCCAGCAGGCCAACAACAACACAACAACAACAACAACAACAACAAAAACAAGGACGACCATTGTTTCGGGGCGCCGTCGTCGGCCACCTCGGGAAAGGCGCGCATGTCGTGCTCGGTGCACTATATGAGCCCCGCCATGGTTGGCCGTGGCCGCCACCACCACCGGCACCACCACCTCCACCGCCGGGGCAGCACACAAGCTCATGTAGGATGGTCTGTGTGTAATGGCTGCGGTGCGTGGCCTCACGGACGGGCAACCTGCCAGGGTCGCTCCCTCCACCCCGCCCCGCCCCGCCCCGCCCCTGGGACCACCGCCAGCAGTAGTTTACATGCGCGATCACCCTATCGCGCGGAGACAGGGCCGGCCCACCCCACCCTGCGCTTACCCTTACAGCGTAGCAGCGGAGCGGCGGGGCCTAGCAGCGCGTCCTCTCGTCACTCGACGCTGCAAAGCAGTGCCAAGCAGTGCAGGGCACTGCAAAACAGGGCAAAACAGCACCGGACCGCCGCCCGTTCCTGCCTCGGCCCGCTCACAGCCCACGGTGGGCCAGAAGACCGGTGGAGGCGGCCAAAGCTCTAGACGCGTTTTGAGCTCCAGAGCCACTAAACAGGACTCGAACCGACCGTGTGACCCCACCAATGGATTGCTCTCCGAACGAGGAATCCATTGGTGGGGTCACAGGTTCGGTTCGAGTCCTGCCCGTGTCCTGTCCGTCCGCGGCCCACCGCTGCAGCTGTTGCTCGCGTCGCCTCGGCCTCGCCCGCCTCAAGTGGTATAAGAGTTGATCCCGGCCCAGTCCGTGGCGGCCGTGGCGGCGTCCCCGGCTTGTCGTAGGCAACTTTATCAATATACCGTCTTCCGGGGCTCCTTGGCCTGCCGGGGGACGCCCTCCACGACTCTGCGGCTCTTTGACGTAGTGACAGTGACGTTATTTCCGCCCTTCCTCTCTCTCTCTCTCTCCGTTCCTCCTCTCCTCTCTCCCTCTTTTCCTCCCCTCCCTTTTCCTTCTCCTCTGTTCATCGACTAGCGTCCTGAAGGGGCCCGGCGGCGAGCCGCGCGCGTCAAGCTCGCAGAGAAAACCGCTGCCTGATCACGCGGCTCATGAAAACAAACTTTGTTTTTGTTTTTCAAGGGAAAGAACAAAGTAAAAAAAAAAATCGGCCTTGTTTTGACTCAATTTTCCCGCCAAGACGGGAATAAAAAAAAATAGAGGGAATCTATCAAACTCAAGAGTTGTGTTGCCTCCGCCCCTCGCTCCACGCGCGTTGGACGTTTTCTTCCAGCCCTAGGCAGGGTGGCTGAGTCCCCGACCTGGAGACCGTGTCTCAGACCGCGTCTCAGACACGACACGGCGACAGACAGCCCCGACGACAGGCACACCTTGGAAGAGGATCAGGCGCTAAGCCCGACCGGACAGATAGTGGTGTTTAGTTGGGGCGCGCCGCGATAGGGGGCGCTGCAGAGCCTCGCTCTGTCTCTCTCGCACGCATACGGAACGCGCCGTGAGTGCGAGAGAGACAGAGCGACGAACATATATCTCGGAATGAGTCCGCTGGTCCTGCCCTGCGCCCCCACAGTAAACGAAGACTAATGGGCGGATGAGCTGATTTTTCACAAGTGAAGTCGCGGCTAAAGGACCGTGAAATCGCGACTCGCCGCATAGCTTGTTCGCCCCACTTGTAAACACACCTCATTCTCCACGATACAGGCGCTCAGCAGAACCAGAGAGAGAGAAAAAAAAAGCAGGGACAAAAACTCGTACAGTACTCGATTGCAAAGTCGCGCGACAAATTCACCCTCTACACTGTTTTTTTTTTATTGTTCTCCTTCGCGCAGATAAGCCGGCGCATTTCTATTCAAATCGTTTTGTATGCACTGCAGTTTATCCATCAGGAATTATTTTTATATACACACCGGAAAGACTGTTTTCTTTATCGGTTTCGCTTTTGTTTTTATTTTTATTTTTTGTGAGTGTGTGTGTGTGTTTCTACCTTCTACCTCCCCTCGAGCGGTGTGCATAATGTTATGCGACTCAAAGAATTTTAGTTATTCTCAGCCTGGCGGCCGATCTCTCTCTCTCTCTCTCTCTCTCTCTCTCTCTCTCTCTCTCTCTCTCTCTCTCTCTCTCTCTCTCTCTCTCTCTCTCTCTTCTTCACTCACACACACGGTTGGCCACGCTCCTGATGGTGATAAGGTGCCGAGCATAAACCACGGAAGTATGCCACGCGGCAGTCACACAGAGAGGCAGACAGACGTCCCCCCCCCCCCCCCCCCCCCGGCCTTTTTCTCTCCTTAAAGTTCCATACCTGACTCTGGATTTTCCTCCCAGTGCCCAGCAGCGGCGGGCTGAAGCCAGTGGGACTGGCGCAATATAATTTTACAGTACTGTATAAAACTCGAATCCGCCTGACTGATTCAAGATTCTTCTTTCGCTAGTGTGTCTGCTGCGCATCGCACCTCCGCCCTTCCCCCCCTTTTTTTTGTTGCATCGTAAAGAAATCTTCGCCGCGCCGCGCGCCTTTGAGGAATGATTTTTCGGCACTTTCGCATCATCGCAGCGCGGATTGAATCCGAAAAAGTAGCTCTGAGGGTTCCTCCAGGCGTGAGAGAGAGAGAGAGAGAGAGAGAGAGAGAGAGAGAGAGAGAGAGAGAGAGAGAGAGAGAGAGAGAGAGAGAGAGAGAGAGAGAGACGTAGGTGTCGGAGCGATTCGGGATGCCATACGAGTGCGAGAGAGTGAGCGATATCGGTCAATAGGCCGCGTCTTCGGTCGGCCCCATGAGTGCGAGAGAGACAGACACAAGGCCCGCGTCGGAATGAGAGTGGTGTCCTCGGCCGGGCGGTCGGCCAGTCACGCACTCGCGGCCAACGCGGCAGACGCGTCCGTCCCGTTCGCGGTGTTCCCGTTCCGCACCGGCCGGCCAAGGTAGTGTGGTGGCCGGTGTGGCCACCCCGCCCCGCCCCGCTCCGCCGGACGAATCTCATTTTCTCCCCCACTAGCTCGGGGGCAGCGGCGCGTCACGGCCCGTCACGGCCCGTCACGCCCACCGGATGTGACGGTGACGCGGCCGTCACGCGACAAACGAGATAACGATGTGGTCACACCGCCGCTACCACGCCGCAGCGGCCGGCCTTTCCCAAAGTTTTGCCTTTTAAGCGCGAAACGCGTTGTTATTTTCCCCTTTAAACGTGTCGCCACCGGGGGGGGGGGGGGGGCTAAGCCGCGGCAGTGGTGGAGTTGGTAAGCGCCTCCACGTCTTGACACGGGAAGAGAGAGATTGGGGATCGGGGGGGGGGGGGGGGGGCGGGGGAGCCAACAAATTCCCGGCCGGACCCCGGGAACTGGAACTTGCCGGCGAGCAAAGAGTTTTCTTTTGGCGCGTCGGAAGACGGCGGGGGGGGGGGGGGGGGGGGGGGGGGGAGTTCATGGCTCCACGTTTAAGGAAGGGGGAGGGGGGGCATGAAGGAACGGGCCCTAGATTGCAGGGCGGCCTGCGCGCTGCACTAGGCGAAAAGGAAAGTCATCATTTTCCTTTTTCTCCCCTTTTTTTTTCTTCTTCCCCAGTGCGAGTGTCTACGATGTTCAGGGGGGGGGGGGCAGGGGGCGACGCCAGAGGAATCCGCACGGCCACGCCGTGCAGTGCCGTGCCGTGGTTCGGCATTTCGGCTTGATTTCCCGGAGATTCCGCGAGACGACGAAGCTACCGTGATTGGAAATACGCGAGATGGAGGTCGAGACTTTTCGACTTTTCCACGGGGCGGCGGGGGCGGCGGGGGCGGCGGGGGCCGCGGGGGCCACCTGCAGAAGGAAATGGGTGGTCTGCGTTTTTAATCTCTGCGGCACACCGCTACACCGTAAAGCGGTACGGAATAAAAACTAGCGACTCGGCCATGAAGCTCGAATAGTCGTGAAAAGTCGCGGATAATACATTTCCCATGAAGGCAAACACCACAGCCCAAAGCGGCGCGGCGCCATTGGTGGGCGAGCGGACGGGCGGGCCGACAGGTGCTCAGACGGACAGACAGACAGACGTGGCAGTCACCGGTTTTACGTTTACGAGTTTAATTCGGGTTGGGCTAGCCTCGCCTGGGCTCCGCCGTAACCTTGGTGGTGCCATCTTTAGTTGCGAGCCTCGCCAGCAGGCTGCAGCAGGCCGGGACGGACTGGCGCCTTAACAGCCTTCAGTCGCAGCGCGGCGCACTGCACTTACAGCGTGCCGCCGCGCGGGCTGGGCCGCCCCGTGGCGAGCCCCTTGGCAAGCACTTCACATTGCCTGCCTTGCCTACCCCGGCAGTAGCGCGCCTGTCGAGTCCAGGGTAGGCAACCCGTTGTGCAGCCGTGCGTCGCACCAACTCCCCGTTGCCTACCCGGCAGTTGGCAGGCGCGCTGCTGGCGTCGCAGCGTGGCACGGCGTGGCGTGGCACGGCGTGGCACGGCACGGCACGGCGCATCCCGCGGGCGCTCTGCATTCCTACACCAGAAAAACGCGGTCGTGAATCGGCTTGGTGGCGGCACTGCGAACGCGTGTGTGCCCCTCCCCCTTTCCCCCCAGTTTTGCGGCGAGTTATTTGCCACCCTCCGTTTTGAGCGGCGCGCTGCGCTTCGCTCGGTTTCGCGCGGCCGCTTCACCACGCCACTTGTTGCGTGCGATTCATTGTCTGCGGTATCGATAGAGAGACGCGCCGCACAGTCCGCACCGAAAGCTCCCTCCTTGCTTTCCGACAAACTTTTGGACCACAACTGGGTTCCTTCCCTCCTCCTGCTGCTGGATGCGACCGAAGCGTCGTCCCCTACCTCATCACCCAGAGTAGCCGTGTCTGCCTGTCCGTCTGTCTGTCTGTCTGTCTGTCTGTCTGTCTGTCTGTCTGTCCGTCTGTCCGTCTGTCCGGCCGCCGCTTCACCTGTCTTTACTCTAGGCGCGCCAAACCGGGGCCTGAAATGGCGTAGCATGTCCCCTAGTGCACGTCCCTCTCGGAGGGGATCCATTGCGAGACTATCATTGCCTCCCCCTCCTCCTCCCCACCCTCCTCACTCTGCCGCCCGGGGTTAAGAAAGAGGCTTGGGAGGGGAGACCCTTTTTACTATGTATCGAGGGAGAAGCTAAATCCCCACCGTTCCGGTCCCCTCCGGGGTCCGCGGCCCCGCGGCCCCAGGGCCCCACGGCCCCGGAGCACCGCAACGCAACAGCCAGGGCCCAATTTCATTCGCCGCATATACAGTAAATATGGCGACCGGGGAAGAAGGGGGGGACACGTACGAGTGGGACTCATACCCCTCCAAAAAAAGAAGGAAACCCTTCGTGCGAAAACAATGTACCGCTCGCGGGCCCGCCCTACAGTGGGCCCCGATGGAAGCCGCGTCGATGGAAGCGAAAACTTGAAGCGAAACACCGCGCGCCGTGAAAGCTCCCCTCTTCGACCTCCTGTGTGTTTTCAGCCCCACGGGTATTATTTCTCGCTAATGATTTACTGTGCACCTTGTGGAGCCTCACCCCCACCGCGCACTGGAGGGAAAAAACCCTCCCCCCTGCTGACCCCCCCACCCCCCTGCTTCCGGTCGGGCTACTTGACTTCCCCCCCCCCCACTCTTCCGTCGCGCGCTAAGTCCGGAAATAGTCCCCGGGCCTTATTTACGTGCCAGTGCAATATTCTTTCCTTACTTGCATGTCGGCGCCCATGTGTTGTTGTTTTTGATGATGTTTTCGGGCCGCCGCTGCCGCTCGCCGCCGCCGCGCCGTGGTGCTTTTGCATTGTAGCAGCATATTGTTCGCGCCGAGTTGTGAGGTGGCGAAGAACGGCGGTGGCGCGGCGGTCGCGGCTGTGTGGCGTTCGTGTGTGTGTGTGTGTGTGTCCGGACGTGTGTGAGTGCGGGTGTTGTCGGACGCCGCCATGATATTACATATCCCCGCAGTACGCGCACACACACACACGCACACAAACACACACACGCGTATGTGTAACAAAATGCGAGAACCGGGTACCGAGCGGCGCGCGCGCTTTCATATGAACTTCTAAACTGACCTCGCGCCGCGCCTCGCCCCGGCGCTTCTTGGAACACTTTGGCGGCCAACGAACGCCCTTGCAACAAAGGCTCTCTCTCTCTCTCTCTCTCTCTCTCTCTCTCTCTCTCTCTCTCTCTCTCTCTCTCTCTCTCTCTCTCTCTCTCTCTCTCCCCCCGTTGCCGCCGCGGGCACTGACATCAAAATCGGCGCCGGTGCCGGTCTTCTGGCCCACTGTGCGCCGCGCACGCTCTGGGAGCGAGAGCAAGGGAGAGCCCCTCTAAGCCGCCACCCTCTATGAGTCGCGGCGCCGCACCGCACCGCGCAGCCAGAAGATTGCGCCCTGGCTGGCGGTGCTGGTGGTGCTGGCGGCAACGGTGGCGGTGATCCCGTCAGCTGCAATGCCAGGGCGATGCCGCCTCGGCCCGGCGCGGCTGGCAGCGCGGCGGCCGGCGAGCAGCTCGGCCCGGCCCGGCCTGCCACTGACGCCGCCCCGAGGCCACGGCGGCGCCACCTACCGGGCGACGACGGAAACCTCTGCGGGCGGCTCGGCCGCGGCACTTGGCGCGCCACGCTCGCCCCTTCAAACGCTTCAAACGCGCGGCAGACCGATTCCGCGAGTCGTTCTCATCCGTCGCTCTGTCTCTCGCGCACCTCCACGGCGGTGGCGGGACGCCCTGCGAGTGCGAGAGAGACAGAGCGACGACTCAGTCTGCTGGCTTCGCGTCTCACTCTTCGCCTCTGTGTTGCAGGTTCGCCACCAAGGAGTCCGCCACGCACGCCATCGTGGCCGTGCACAACACGGACATCGGCGGGCAGCCCGTCAAGTGCTCCTGGGGGAAGGAGTCCGGGGACCCCAACAACGCCCCTCCCACCACCCAGGTGCGTGCCTCTCCTTTTCCCCCTTTCTCTCTCTCTCTCCCTCTCTCTCTCTCTCTCTCTCTCCCTCTCTCTCGCTCCCCCGCGGAACGCGCGGAACGCCGTGAGTGAGAGAGAGGGAGAGGCATCCTGCCAATAGACGCGCGCCTCTTCCTTCCCCTTTGACGGGCTTTGACCCGCCACGCGTGAAACGACGGCCGAGATTGAAGATGATGCCACGTCCGCGTCAAAGACCCCGCCGCTTAGGGACGGCCCCCGGCGCACAGTGGGCCAGAAGACCGGCACCGGCGGCCAAAACTCTAGACGCGTTTTCAGCTCCAGAGTCGCTAAATGGGACTCGAACCGAACGTGTGACCCCACCATTGGATTCCTCGTTCGGGGAGCAATCCATTGGTGGGGTCACACGGTCGCTTCGAGTCCCGTTCAGCGACTCTGGAGCTCAAAACGCGTCTTCTGGCCCACTGTGCGGCCCAGCCGCTTTAGGCGCGGCCCCCGGCGTCGCCATCAGGGGGCATTTGGCGGTGCCTCCCGAACGCCCCCACAGCCCCCGCATTTGCATTCCAATTAGCGTGAATCATTGCGTTTTGTACCACCCATTGTCCCCACCCAGAGCAAAATTTGGAACGCGGTTTTCGCGGATTTTTCGTCGCTGGAAACCACGGATTCGGTTTTCAGCTCCCCCAAACCCGTTTCCAGTATTCTCATCGGTATATTTTTACTATTTTTTTTTATTGCGGTCGACTCGCTTGTACCACACCCTGTCCGACTACGACAGTCGATTGGGGTCGTCGAGGGGCCGCGGCGTACGACCCCACCCCGCGAACCCCCGCGAACCCCCGCGAACCGCCGCCAACGCTGATTCGAGAATGAAAAGCGATTTGTCGTGCCGTAACGAACCAAGACTGCCGCCCGCCATTTCCGATGTGATTGGGATGACAAATCAATGTCATGAGGCCCAACGCGGGGAGGGGGAGGGGGGTCGTGACGGGTATGGTTTGGGAAAGGGGAGTGGGGGGACGCGAACGATGGCATGGCGAGTAGAATGAAGATGTAAATGTGTACATCCGTCTCTCTGGTTTCATTCTCGCCATTACGTTACAGCGCGCTCTGCCTGGCCTAACGTGATCCCGCGGCTCTGATCCCGTGGCCGAAAAAAAACAACAACAAACAAGCAAAACAAAAACAAGATGTTGTTGTTGGCCGTGATTGAGGCGTCCCTGCTGCTGCGGGTTACAGTGGCGCGGCTCGGCCATGAATAAACCTAACCTGCACGACACTTTTTGCCCGCATTGGGCCGCTGCTAATGAGTGTATAACACACAGCCCTCGTGTACAGTGTAGAGCCCGACCAGGCCCTTACACGGCCGGCACGGCACGGCGTGCTCCCCGGGACGTATACATATATATTAACGAGACAAATTATATGGGCAGAGCCATTTAGCATCCCCAGTGTAGTTCCATGCCGCCCTCTTCTTGCGCCCGTAAGGCCCCGTGGCGAATGTAGCCCCGGCAGGCCTTACCCAGCAGGCTGCAGACTGATTCCGAGAGTCTGTCTCTCTCGCACTCATGGGGCGTTCCGTACAGGTGCGAGAGAGACAGAGCGACGAAAACGACTCTCGAGGAATGAGTCTACAGATGGCGAAACGCGACCTTTCGCGACCTTTCGGGACTTGCTCCACAGCCCGCAGCTTTCGCGCGGTTCTAGATTTTGGTTTGCATTCCTCGATTTTTCGCTAGCTGGATATGTGTCGTTTTTTTGTTAGGTTAGGGACACTGTTTCTGATGTCCCTCCCCCACCACCGTGCTTGTTACGGCCCGCCGACGGCAGCCCACGGCAACCAAGGCAACGAGTCGCAGAGAACCAACTTCGGCAGCAAACACGCGCGCGCCAAACTCAATGTTTTTTTTTCCTCATCCCCCGACTGGTTGTCCGCAGGCCATGGCGACCACGCAGTACCCCTACACCTACGGGCAGCAGATGGGCTACTGGTACCCGCAGACGGCCACCTACCCGACGGCAGCAGCCGCCGCCGCCTCCAACGCGGCCCAGATGCAGGCCGGCCAGTTCATGCAGGGCGTGCAGACGGGGTACACCGCGTCGCCCTTCGGCCAGTACGGCGCCTACCAGCAGGCGGGCTACATGGGGTGAGTGTCACTCTGAGTCGTTTCCTGTCTCTATCCACGCCTTCCACTCACACTTTCTCGTCTCCAGGATGGCCAGCTTGCAGATGCCCACCACCTGGCAGGGCCTGCCCGCCCAGCCCACCATGCCCGCCGCGGGTCAGATGGCCGCCGCCCAGGCCAGCGCCGCGGCCCTGCAGCAACCCGCCGGCATCATGGCCTTCCCCGCCATGCAGGCGCAGTACCAGGTAGGCCTGCCCTGTCCACCACCCTCCAGTGTACCCGCACGCCCGGTCTCATCCAACTAACCAATCACTCCGCCTTTTTTACAGCAACTGGCTGCGGAAGAGGACTGGCTCACACCGAGTCTACTGGTTTGAAGAAGCGCACGGCCGCATTCTTGGGACCCACCTCACATGTAGGCCAACCAACTCTGCCTTTCCTGCCAGAAAGCTGTCGGGTGTTGGTAGCATGTTATTGATACACTGTGTGTACATGTTAATATACGCGAAACCTCGCTGGGCGCTGGACTCGGTGACAATGTTAATTGAGTGTACACTGCTAACTATACAGATATCATACCTAGTAATACAAATTAAGAGATATGAAGTCGTAAAAAGCTAAACTGTGAATGATTCCGTAGCATTATCATTTTATTTGATGCCATTACGAAACCAAACTCATACATCGTAGGGCTGGTTAAATTTATTTTATGGAGATGGATTACGTGATAAATAAAAGGAACAAATGATGCATTCCGTCAAGATCGGGGGACATAATGATGCATTATATATAATTTACCTATAAATCGAATGTGGTTATGTATAGTTTGTTATTGCGTACTCCGCTTAGGACACATGGTCAACATGTTCAAAGAGAACCCCAGAGGAGCCATGTAGTGTGTGGTTCCAACTGCACCTTCCAATGTACAAATAAACAGTGTATGGAGGGGGATTCTGTATCGTCAGCCTGTTTCCTCCTCGATAAAAGAAAATAGCCTTACTTGCATGTTATGGAGATCAGATAAACTGATAGCTTTCTATAGATCTAGAACATAGATGCCTAAAACCAAGGATTCAAAAACAAACGGTTAGGTTATGTTGCTTAAGGATTGGCCCGAGGTTCCAATACCGCATCCTCATAGACAATTCGAAACTTGGGAATATTACATGTTAAATTATTCTTTTTGTTTTTGTTTCACAGTGCATAACAAAGTATGCCCTTACGTTTTAGTTCTTTTCTGATATCAGTAATTTGGTCAACGTTCCCTGATAACGACGAATTTTCTAGTCTGCAAACTATTTTTGTTTTTGTTTTACTTGTTGAAGATAGTTACTTTCGGTTCTAGTCATTAACTATATTGTGATTGCATTAAATTTGCCAACGGAGTATGATATTTTCCGTTTGAGGACAGCGGAACAATATTCTCCATCATACAGAGCAAAAAATTTGGTTGTCCGAAATGAAGGACAAACAATATCGAAAAGCTGGGTGTGCAGACCGAACCTATCATATTTTCACATCGTTTAGTTGTACGAGATCTAAAATGCAAATCATTTCCCCGAAAAGTGTTTTATGATAAAGAAATTTGCAGTGCCAAATAATTCATTCTGAAGTCACGAACTGTTTAACAGTGTGTGACACTTTCACTGCGCAAAGAAGTGATCTGCCAGACTCAAGCAAGGTTCTCAGCCAACAAAAAAAAATCAAATCAAAAACATATTTCTCCATTTTTGTAGTGGTGTGAAAGTGAATCACTTAACAAAAAAAATATTCACAAGTGTACAGTGTAAATAGAAATAGACAAAGTCAATTTGTTAATTGAAAGATTATATTAATGTATTTTGTAAAAGGAAAATAGGAATCCTTTACAAACCAAAATTAATAGTAAGGTGAGTTGTGTGGCAAAAAATGTACGGCGTGCGAATAAGTTGAACTAGTGTTAAATATGTGGAAGCCTTATTCACGGATTGAGCTTCCCGTTATTAAAAGTCAGAAAGGTGTTTGTATTTATGTTTAAACAAAACGTCGTTTGATAATATCATACATTTAATTGGTAATTGTTAGTTAACGCAAGTGTGTGATCTATCTTCTTTCAATTTCGCAATTTGTTATAAAACTACGAAGTTGTGTTGGTTGTTCACGGTGCTATAAACAAAATACTTTTAGGATTCCCTTATATTACCCCTAAGAGCGTAAGATTCTTAACCAAAGTGAGTTACCAATGTTTTAAGAAAGGTTATGTGAGTGAGACTAATGCAATTTTCATGCAAGCAGGCCATGGAGAGCAGCTTTAGCAAACCCATCCAAGTCATGTACTCTGTTGTTGCTGTCTCGAACGCCCGCACTGACTCGATCCTGTAAACATTTTAGTTGCTTTCTTCACTGAGGCTTTCTCACCTCGGCCATAAACTGGTTGACGAAAGAACTTTCGTCCGAAGCCTGCTTTTGCGCGAACACTGCCACTGTCTGGTTTCGTGTAGTCTCTTCTTTGCCTGCGGAAATGATAAATAACCTATCTTTTTTCTTTGTACTCTTGTGATCGTATTGTGATTGTGTGTTTTGTTACGTTGCATTGTATGCAATATTGATGTTATGTTTGTATGTTTTAACTTGCTCACATTGTTTCTGAAACGCTAAGGTTTCAATAGGATTTTCATAACTCCTGCTGGGCAGTTGCAAGTCTTTGTCTATCTTGCTATCAATCGTTCGTATTATTTGTTTGTTACTATTGTTGTTTTTCGAAAACCTTTCCATTTAATGGAAATGCCTCAAAGGTGTTATTATTGCTGTGCTTTTTATGTGGTTTAGTTTTAAAAAATAGATATTTTAAATAAGTCTCAGCAAGATACTCACGAACTTCTACCAGGAGGCCTATCATGCACAAAGGGTAAACTTGATACTCATGCAATCGGTCTGTCGAAGACTGTTCACCGCTTTGGTACTAATGGGATGCCGTCCCTTTGCCAGTTACACAGGCCATCATATTCTTCACGAGGAATGAAGGAAAGTGTTTTGATACTGATTGTAGTTACATTAAGAGTGTAATTTTTAGAACATAATGGTTACTACTATTGTTTATTTTTTAAAAAATGTGAAAGAGTAACGTTGTAAGTAATCATGTTTGTACTTAAGTACAGCACAATAGCTATATTTAGCGCACCATTTATGTATATATTAGTAGGACAGCGATAGCGGGGCCAGGCAGGTATCCGAGCTCAGCCCATAGATCAAAAATGGAATGGGCAGTCATGAGCTATATAGTAAGCATCAGTCCTCCGATGTTAGTGAGGATAAAAATGGTCATTATTTTGTTGCATTTTCCCTGCGTTGTGACTTAGTTCTCATAGTCGAGAACCTAAACAGTAAATCCAAACGTGGAAATAAGTGTGAAAATAGTGTCTTATAAAGTCCTGAAATAAATTACTCTGGAAGTAAGACTTCTTCTTGTGGCGTGTTCCTTTACAACCTGCGCCCCTCTCGACGGCCCGTTCCCCGAGTCCGAGTTGCTCCTCTGAGATTTGGCGGCAGGCATCGACGCGGCGTGGAGGCTCGCAGCAGCCCCGGCCACCCCAGCCCGGGCCCCAGTCTGCCCCGGTCGGCCCCAGTCGGCTGCGGTGGGGCCGGTAAACGTTTCATGAGCATCACTCCTTCATGAAGCCAGGGGGCGGGGCGCGGCGTGGAGCAGCAAAGCGCCAGGAAAGGGTGGAATTAAGGGCGGCTGCCCGACACAAGACCAGCAAGAGAGGGAGCCTCCTTGGGAATCCCAAATCGTTCAAAAGCATTCACTGAGAAAAAATAGCCTCCAGAAGTCTCTGGGAAAACCGAGCGAAACAAGAAATTCAGAGACGAATTCCAGACACGACGACGAGAAATCTTCGGTCACGACCCGAGCCAAACTCTAAGAGCATCGAGACGAGCACAAACCGCGATTATGCTACTTACACAAACACTTTGTCGAGCCTGCAAGTACGCAAAACGTGCGACACGCCCTCGGCCACGCCCCCCGAAATGCAAATCCTAGTACGCGGCTGCCTGCGCTGTGTGCGCTGTGCTGCGCTGCCGGTGCCGGGCGAACTTCAGCCTCAAAGCGTCCAATAACGGCTTTGGACGGCCGGCAAAAGCATAACCCAGTGAACGCAGTGCGGTCAAGCCGCAGGGCGGTCTCTAGGAAGAGGCGCGTAAAATATTCAGGCGTGTGCCGCAGCGAGGCAGAGGCAGGCAGAGCCAGGCAGAGCGAAGCAAGGTTTAGAGTTTGCGGAGGGGGCGTGGCGGGGCGGGGCGGGGCGGGGCGGGGCGTTGCGCCCAGGGCGTCAGACTCCAGCCAAGGTGGGCTGGATGACTAATTAACCGCACCCTGCCGATGGAACACATCAAGAACCAAGCAAGGAGGGGCGGCGGCGGTGGCAAAACCGCGTCGATACTCCATGCGCGAGTTTGACGTCAGAGTTAACTGACGCGTGGGATAGCGTCGGCCCGAGACTCCGCCAGTGTGTGAATATGTCCCGTGAGTCACGGACCGTAAAAAGTCCCATGCAGAGTACAAACAAGGTTTCGAAAAAGAATAAAAAGACTCCAAAACGGTTTTTTTTATATATTTTTAATGACCCTGCCAACACGAAATCGGTGGCCACTGCCTCGACGGCCGTGTAGCGGCAGCGGCACGCCCGCCGGCGATATTACACATTCCGAAGCTTCGTTAGCTTCTTGTTTTCCCGGCGGCCGTGTCGCCGTGTTCCGCTCCGGATTGCCGCCGCGAATGGAGGCGAAACGGCAAAGAAGTCCGCAGTGCGGCCCGGGGCGGGGCGGGGCGGGGCGGGGCCGAGACGCGAAATGAGACAATAACGGCCACTTTGGACATCGTTATTGAATTGCATCTGGTTGCCGCCCCACCATTCCCCACCTGCCCCCACCAGCGCGCCCGCCAGCCCCCACCTGCCCCCACCTGCCCCCACCAGCCGCCGTCCCTCACACTTACACGCTGCGGGGAGTCGGCCGGAAAATTAAAAAGCATTGCTTCCCGGGCAGGCAGGCAGGCAGGGTGGCGGGGTCAAAGCGTGAGCCCAGAGCGCCGCGAGCGACCCGCGAAGCGGCGTGTTCCGATTCACGAGTCTCATTCTTTTTGCTGTTCTTTTTTTCCTCCCGCTGTGCACTAATTGAAAAAGTTAACATGCTTCCATCCACATAAGCGTTCAGGTTCCGCTCCGCCTGCGCCGTGTCCCCAGTGGTGTCCTGCCGGGCGTCCCCGCCAGGCCACGCCAGGCAGGCAGCGCAGCCGAAGCGCCGCTCCGAAGCACGGCCTTGTTGATGCTAGCCGTTACCTGTTCTCCGGGACGCGCGCCGAATCTCAAACTACCCGCCGCCATGCCGCCGCCCCTCCGAAGAAGTAGGTTGGCTCTGGGCTGCCTGCCTGCCTGCCTGCCTGGCCGAGTTGCGTGGCTCTGCGGCGGCCCGGCCGGCTGTCCGGCTGTCCAGGCAGCGCAGCAGACCTACCCTCTCTGTCTCTCTCTCGCACTCGCGGTGCGGCTCGGCGGGCCGTGCGAGAGAGACGCGCCGGCGAGAGTTTGCCGCTCGGACGCGGCCTGCTGTCGGCCTGTCGGCCGGGCGGCCTGGCCGGGCCGCCTGGCGGCGTGCTGCGGCGACCCTGCGTCAGCCCGCAAGGGAATTGGCCGCAGAATTACTGCGGGCACCACGGCACCACGGCCACTGCCGCGCCTAGCCCAGCGCGCCCAGCGCCCAGTCCGGCCAGCCCAGCGCCCCAACAACAAATTCCTCCCGATAATACACGTTGTTAGCGCAGCGGCGCGGCGCGGGCATATCTCCTGCTAAAGCTGAAGGCCGGGATGGGGCGCCGCGTAGCGCGCGTAGCACGCACCGCGCCCAGAAAAGTTACTAGCATTGGCGCCCTAGTGTGTGTGTGTGTGTGTGTGTGTGTGTGTGTTTGTTTGTGTGGGAGTGTGTGTGTGAGTGAGGGCGTGTGTCTATGGCAACGCTGTGAGTCGTTTGTTTTCGCCTTATAGTGGCAATATCCACTACTCCGCACGGCCAATCTCTGACCCCCGCCACATACACACACACACACACGCGCGCGCGCGCGCGCACGCACGCACATACACCTGCCGTTGCGGACGACGTAAAAATGAAATGCTTCCGGCGGACACGTGAGTAGGGCGTCGGTCTTAACTTGGCGGCTCGGCGGGCGAGTGGGGTCGTGGGTGCGACTATAGGCGCGTCTAGTCCGGATGTATAGTCGGGCGGAACTGACAGAGCCTAACAGGTGGAAGCGCTGCAGTGGCGGCATCGCGAAACAGCCAATAACACAGCTCGCAGCATTATTGAAGCGCCGCATTGCAACTTCGCATTGCTTCGCATTCAGAGCCGCTGGCTGGACAGCTTTTCCCATTCCCACGCGCATCCCTCTCTCTCACTCGCTCTCGCGTAAAACGGCCGCCCCGCCCCGCGGCGGGACCAGGTTGCGAATCGTAACGTAAAAACACACACAGAACAAACGAGAAAAAGAGACCGGGTGCGTAGGTTTCGAACCGTGAACCTTACGCATCGGGGTCGGTGCTCGTGACCACTCGGCTACGGTAACTTCCCTCGAAGGCCGTCGTGCAGTGCTCCAGGGGTTTTAAGGCGGCCCAAAAATACACAAGAGTCGAAATGATGCGAGCCGAGGCTCTGTTGTTTCTGCCCGGGACGCCGCCGCGAGGGTTTGCCCACGGTTTCGCGGGATTCGCGTTGCCTCCACTAACACCGCCTCATGTTTATAAAACAGCCGGCCGGGCAAAAGGAGCGCCTCGAAATTTCTCATAAATGGCGGCTAAGTGGCGGCCGGCCGGCACGGCCAGCATGAGGGCCTCGGTGGCCTCGGTGGCCGCGGGCGAGGAGCGGCGACGGCAGTGGGGCCAACCTAACCATAGTCGGATGCGGCGACTCGTGCAAATTGCCTTCAAGTCAACTAACGAGCCCCGAAAAGGGGCCTCGCCTTGCCGTCGTTGGCTCGGCCTGGCTGGGCCCCGCACTGCCGCCGGGTCCCCGTTCACAGCCCCAAGCCCCCCGGGGCGGCGCAAGTGTTCCATCGACTGGGTTGCGCCGTCCCCCAAATCCTTTGACAGAAGCGCCTGCGAGGTAGGCCACCCATTCGGCCCGGCGCGAGGATGGTGGCCTACCTTGCCCCTGTCGACTTCGGGGGCGAGGTAGGCCACCGTCTGCGCGTCGGTGTGCCGCGGGCCGAATGGGTGGCCTACCTCGCAGGCGCCATCAGCAGTCATTCTCACTCAATTCCAGTTTTTCGCAATAAAAAACTGTGTCGAGCCGCCAGAACGTCACTCGAGACCGGGACTCTACAATGCGTTCCCGGTCGACTGCTGCACGCGAGGGTTCGCCTCCGGATCCAATCACGCGCGTTCGGTGTGTACAAGCGAATCGTTCGCGCTTCGTTCGAATCGGTCCGATGACGTCGGGGTCGACGCCTCGCAGACTGCGTCGGGCTGCCTCGGACACCGGGACCGCTATCAATGGCTCCAACATGTATTCTTTTTTTTTTCGCGGCCGATCGGTCACCCGGTTGAACGTCCGAGGTCCCCGTCGTCGTCGGTCTGCCGGCCTTATAAGTAGGGCTCTCCCCGGCCACATGTCGGTCTGTCCGCGAAGCACCGCGAAGCACCTGTCGACGCCATGCTGCTCGCCGCCGCCTGTCTGCTGCTCCCCGCCGTCGGGGGGCAGTTCATCAACAGCTACGCGGTCAGTCGAGTTCGTCGAGGTGCTCGTCTGCCTCCCTCCCCCCCCCCTCTCTCTCTCTTCCTCTGACGGGGTGCCTGTCCTCCACAGGGCCCCTTCGACGTGGAGCTGCAGCGAGTGGAGATCTGCCCCGGCGCCATGAGCGGCCTCAACCTGCTCAACTTCACCCAGCGGCTCACTCGGGACCGGAAGTACCCCAAGCGGTTCTACTACACCGGCGTGGTGCAGCACTTCTTCGACGTCCTCCCCTCGCTGGCGGTAAGAGGCAGTCAAAGTCCCCGACGCGTTTTGAGCTGCAGAGACACCAAATGGGACTCGAACCGAACGTGTGACCCCACCAATGGATCGCTCTCCGGACGAGGAATCCATTGGTGGGGTCACACGCTCGGTTCGAGGCCTGTTCAGCGACTCTGGAGCTCAAAACGCGTCTAGAGTTTCGGCCGCCTCCACACTGGCAAAGCCACTGTGCGCAGTGGACCATCAGGCTGAGCAGCTGGAGCTCTCGCGGCGGCTGGAAGGAGAACGCGTACCACCACACCTTCACGCGCGTCTGCGACCTGGCCAAGGCCCGCTTCAACAACCCAGTGTACCGCCGGGTCATCCTCGCCGCCATGGGCAGCGACTTCGTCTTCTCCTGCCCCTTCCCGGCGGTAAGTGCACGCCCAAAAAAAAGAAAAAAAAAAGGAAAACGAACTTGCCGGTGGTGGGGTTTGAACCCGGGCCCACTCAAAAGAGACGATTTTTATCCCACAGTCGCGATGGGAGTTCACCGACTTCCCGGTGGACGTGACGGCGGACGAGTTCAAGGAGTTCGTCTACGGCAAGTGGCGGATCGACATTCAGGTCCGGCATGATTTTTTTCCTTTTAAAAAAATGAACGAGAATCCTGGCCGATTTTTAGACAGGTTGTTGTGCTCTTGCCGCAGTCGTTGGACGGCAAGACGAACACGGTGCTGTCGTGCCACCGCGAGTTCGTGGACACCGTGCCCAAGGTGCAGGGGCGGCGCGGCGCCGGCGTCCCCGCCGAGGCCAACTACAGCGGCACGGTGCGCGTCTCCAGGGTCAAGGCCCTGTACCCCTAGGCCGACTGCACAGTGGGCCAGAAGACCGGCGCCGGCGGCCGAAACTCCAGACGCGTTTTGAGCTCCAGAGTCCCATTAAGCGACCCTGGAGTGTAAAAACGAACCTCCAATTTTGGCTGCATCCACCGGGAAGCTGCGCCTCGCCAGGATCGAATTTGAACAAAGTTTCGTTTTTGTTTCCTTGTTGTTTGTGAGCCACACGATGACGTAATGGCAATCTAGAAATGGAGGCGCGGCTGTCAAGGGCGCCGCTTCCCCTTGACGCCGCGAAACGCCGCGAAACCTTCTCTAAGCATCGAGCGCCAACACGCGTTGCCGTCACTATCCTGACACAATGTCGTCTCTCTCTCTCTCTCTCCCGTAGGGTGCGAGAGAGACAGAGTGACAATGGCGCCGTCCTGAATCAGCCCGCGGAGTCTTTGAAAAATATTGAAAGCGGCCAGTGTGTCGCCCTGACGTGTCCCTCGCGACACGTGTCAAAGTGGAAAGGCCGGCCCTACACTGTAACTCCGTGCCCCTTGGTTCCACAGTGCTGCGCTGTCTTTCGGCTCGACCGGCTCCTGCCGTGGCGCCCCGCCCCGCTGGAAGGTGGAAGGTAGAGGTAGGCAAACCAGTGGGATAGGAAAATGGCTTATAGTGTATTTACAGTCGTTGGAAATTTGAGTGGAGGACAGTTTCACGCTCTCTTCGACTTGAGGATCTTGGCTACGAGGCTGGTGCTCCTCCCCGTGCTCGCGATGCGCGTCCGGCGCGTGGCCACGGCGGTCCTGCGCTTGCTGGGCGTGCTCTCCTCCGTGATGGGCGGGCTGCCGGTGTCGGGCTGGCCGCTGCGGCCGCGGGCCTGGCCGGCGCGCCGGGCCTGGGCGGCGGCCTTCGTCGGCGTGCTGTTCCTGGAGTGCTCCCACCTGCCGTTGATCATCCATCAGTACGGGCACAGCCTCCTGTCCGTGTGCAGCATCGGCATGTACGCGCTCCGGGTCCTGGTGGCCGTCGGCGACGTGCTGGCCCGGTCGGCGTGCAGCACCACGCTGCGGTACGCCCACAGTCGTCGCTCTGTCTCTCTCGCACCTACACGGGACGCCCCGTCTGACTTGCCACCCCTCTCGGCAGCTGCGTGTGGCTGTACTGCGAGCGCTACCCGCTGACGGCGGCCTGCTGGCGGCGCGTGCTGGCCGTCGCGGCCGTGGTGCCCGTGTCCGTGGCCAGCGTGGTCTACATGATGCTGGACGAGGTTCCGGCGGAGGGCGACGAGGCGCGCCAGGCCCTGTACGCCCTGCTCACGGTGGCCAGGGGCCTGCTGCTGAGCCTGTACTTCCTGCAGTCCATGCTGCCCATGGTCGTGCTGGCGGACTGCAGCGCCACGCTGCGCCGGGACTGCGCGCGGCAGGCGCTCGTGCCGATCCTGGCCGAGAAAGGCGCCAGGATGGCGTCGGGCCGCGAGCTCGACCAGCGCGACCAGCTCGACGTGCTGAGGGCCGCGCAGTGGCGGGCGTTGCGTGTGCGCCATCAGCTGGTGCACGACATGTACGCAGGCTGCCACGCCGTGGGGCAGTGGTGGCTCCTCGTGGTGGCGTCCAGCACCGTCGTCTACGTCACGGTGCAGCTCACCCAGTCCAGCTTCCTCGCCCTGGTGCTGGGCTCGGTGCGCCCGGCCAAGCTGCTCAACGCCGCCACCCACGTGCTGTCCTTCTGCCTGCTGTGCTGCGCCACGCAGCTGGTGCCCAACGAGGTAAGGCGGTCCAAATCCCGGACGGAGCTCCAGAGTCACTAAATGGGAGTCGAACCGAACGTGTGACCCCATCAATGGATTGCTCCCCGGACCAGGAATCTATTGGTGGGGTCACACGTTTGGTTGGAGCTCTGTTTAGTGACTCTGGAGCTAAAAGCGCGTCTGAAGTGTTGGCCGCCTGCGCCGGTCTTCTGGCCCACTATATGCACCGTGGCCGCCAAAACCGAATCTTGTTACGTTCTCCTTGTTTCTCCGGGCAGAGTGTCAAGATAGGCCCCATCATTTGCACCCGCACGTTGTCCCCAATCAACGACGCGGAAAAACGCGAGGTGTGTATGTTTTGTTTTGTATTGCTCGGAACCGCAGCGTTTTAAGTGACGTGGTGAGTGCACACTGTTAAGCTATTCCTACAGGATGACGGGGATCGATTTCTGTCCATTTTCCAGGCGTTTATGTTTCTTGAGCAAACCAGGCTTCGCACGGGGAGCGCTTGCTGCAGCGTCCTGGGGCTGTTCACCCTCGACAGAGCCACCATGTTTCAAGTAAGACTTCGCACTTGCGCCGGTTGGTGTCTTACCGCCAATTCGACGTTAACGTTTCATTTTTCAATCAGGTGCTGTCGAACGTGTTTTCGTACTTCGTCGTCGTGTTACAAATGTCAAACTGGTTTGACTTGGAAGTAGCGCAGGCCGCAGAAGATGGTCCACTGTGAAGTGAAAGAACACGTGAGGAGCGCCTGCGAAGGGTTGGGTAGGCCGCACGCAGCGGCCGCAAGTTCGGCGGGCTAGTCTACCCTAGTACCATTACCATTAAGGGCTAGACCACACATGATCGTAGTCTACCCGCCCCGACCGCAGGCGCTCCCCGAAGCCAGCCGGCCTAGATCCTAGATTTCTTTCCAAATGAGCTCTGATGTGTGTGAAAATATGTAGTGATTGGCTCAGATTTGTTTATTGCGTGTATTGAACAATGCAAACGCCAATAAAGCAGTATATGAGAGAGTTTTATTCCATAAAAAGAGAACCATAAATGAAATAGACCCTGTTCTCACATAACAGGCTAAAGATCATTAGCGTATGGCTTAGTAACATCTCACAAGGAACAGTATAATCACATTCAAGCTTGCACGGTAATATGACTACATATCAATAAATTATTATGAGAAGCAAAATTAACCACAAAAGCATTAGGAGACCCCACATAGTTCAAAACACGACATGCCATGTTGGCATGCCATGTTATTAGAAATGTGATACAGATGCCACTTAAAAGGAACATAGAAATGGATGCTGGGGACACAAATCAAAATCTATAGTGGTTACTTTTTGAGATAGAAATGTGTGGAAACAAAAGAGACAGTGCTACTTAAGCCCTCAGCACTACCCAAAACCCACAATTCAGTGCACAAATTTATTTCTTGACAGTAAGGATTCCTTTAATACATAAGAAGCTCTCCACGGCAACACAGACTAACAGATTGAACTGCTTCTACTCCAGTTGGGTATGAAATTTGAAAATTGTTTGACTGAAACCTGACTAGAAAGTTTTCATTAGAGAATATTTGGACCCTAGTTCTCCAATTACCCTCAAATTAACAAGTGTTTAACTCGTCTTCCATTTTTAAATCATTATTAGAATGTATAAATATAAGAGAAAGTTGTACTTCCTGATAGGGAAAGTACAGAATGAACCAAACCTGCTGGTTACTTGACTCAAAACTGAATACAGCTTTCCTTCATGGGAGATTTAGAACTAACGTATCACTTGTGTTTGTCTTTTCCTTCAAAGCCACAACACTATCGAAACATGCATAATGAAATCTCTCATTCCATTTCCTTTTGAAAGTTCTTTCAACCCTGCAAAAAATTTGATCGCTTCCTTTCGAAAATAGTACTTTAAGGCCAAAGAGAGCATTTCACTGCTTGGACCAAGTTATAGACATGCTGAAATCCAAATTCAAAGTGTCAATGAGTGATCCAATTTAGAATAAATTTAATGAGATGCTGCAATGACACTAATTGAATGGAGCTCAAAATGAGCACAAAACACTTGGGAACCAGCAGGAATATCACAGTAGCAGATATACACAATAGAAGCTGTATTAAGGCTTTAAAAATTACACACCTCTATCCCATCAACTGGCATATGCTGCATGTTGCAATTGAAGATATGTGAAAACATGTTGACTGAAATAAGTCTCAAATACTACAGGGTAATAAAAGTCTAAAACAAAGCTGAAACAAATTTACTTTAATTAAAATTGACTAATGTTTTTAAATCTGTAAACTACTGGTAAATGCAGTCTTAGAGATAGGGGATAAAACAAGTCATTCATTGATATCACTTAAGAATTACAATAATTTAAAGAGAGGCAGTTTGATATGTATCAGTGAGTGCCATTGCATACATACAGTGGTCAATTTTTCAGTACAATTAGCACATGGTTTATGAACTCGTCTTACAAATTTCGAAAGATTAGGAGTCTCACTGACAAGTTACTAATTTTGAGCATTTTCCAGGAGCTAACTACTAAGGATTAATATGAAGAAAAGAGGTCTATAAATTATCACAGAAAAGCCCTCTTAAAAAAACAACTAAGCATCGCTACTAGGTAGTTCTCAAAGCACGAGGAAATGGCAACAAGTTGACACTTCAAGACATGTTGTTTTTAGGTAACTTTAGAAGAGAAACATTCAAATCACGATATCAAACTAAGGGAAAGTTTAAGGCCATAATAAGCAGAGGAGGCAGTGCAAAGGAGGAAACAACTTATGTCTCTCAGGACACAGAAAATTTACAGTAATAGAGTAATCAATCGAGGAAAACCAGTTGAATGTATGATTAATTACAAATGTTTGCAGTTTTCACAAAGTGCAGGTTTGAATAAGAACACATCAAGATAGAGGCAGTAACAGTGCTACATACAGGCTGCATCATACTACTAGGCCATTCAAAAACTGGCGCCCTAACATTCTTGTAAGCACAGTTTGTCTAACAACAATAAGGTAAACAACTTACATCTTTAAATCGAGGCCCTGCCCCAGAACAATACAAGATAACACTGAAAGATAGTCCTTCTTTCATGAAGTGTTACATCAAATTATTTAAATACATAAAATAGCTACAAGTCTTTGCATTAAAATCAGACAAACAAATCTACTGTGACACATGACTAAATCACATATTAACAAAAACAGTTAACACACAGCCGCGAATATCCAGCCAGATCAATTATTTTCAACTAGTTAAACATCTAAACTTACACGGGTTTTCAAAGGAAATGGCTCAGAAGGCATAGCGACCTGGACCACAGTACTTCAAACACAATGTTATGCTTAGACTAGCCACAGCAGCATGAAAACCAAAAAAACACTGCCTTTCAAAAATTCAATTAACAAAGACAGCAAATAAAGTGACAAAATTTAAAGAAAGAAAAATAATTCCATTAAAATTACTATTAGGACTAAAATAGAAACACAAAATATCCACTACTACTGACCAAAATATGGTAATGGCACTTGGAGGGTCAGACAGTCTTAGGAACTTGAGTTGAGGCATATAACTTGCAATCAAATGACAATGTAGACATCAGAAATCCCACAGTAAATCAGAGTTAACAAATGATATTTTAATCAAATATATCTTCAGCTAGGACTTCATGCACAAAAAACAACAAAATCCATTGGTTTCCAAAAGGGGAAAAAAATTTAAAAACTTGTTAGGTTTGAGAAAATAAGTTGCCAAGCTTAAAAGCACATCGCAAGCTTAAGAAAAATACATTTGGACACACAAAATGTGATAACAAGCTTAAATACTTCATTCACAACTTCATAGCAGAAAAACCGAATCATATGAAATCAAAAATGATAGCATCCTTCAGCCTGAATAAGGAGCCAAATTTAAAGAAATAAGATATTAAGAATCAAATCAAATATTAAAAAGTGATAAAGTTAAACATTTTCACAAAATGTGGATGGTGCCTCACACCATTCTGAATTTGATATCGAGAATAAATAAGCCTTTACAAGGTCTAGCAAATAAAATGAAAGTTGTGAAAACATAATAAAATACAAATACTTCCTGATATTAGTTGGTTGGTTTGTCATTGATGTGCAATAGGCATTAAAACCATCAACTAAGAATCGCACAACTCACTTTCATTGAGTTGTTTTCCATCCAGATCCTCCATAGAAGAAGGTAAATCTTGTGCTGGTGGGTCAAAATCAAACTCTGGGTCAAACTCTGTTTCTGTTTCATTTTCATCAGTATCCGGCTCAGTATCTGATTCCACATTGACACCATCCTTGTGAAGGAGTGTCACTTGAAGAGCGCACCACATCCCTGTTCTAGCCTGGCGTGAGCTACTTGTGAGGTCCCGAAGACTGCTAGCTAAAGCTAATGTATCTGTAAAATTAAGGAAAATATTATTATGATAATGAAAATTTACAAACTAAAAATGGCGATGTGTCCTGACAAGAAAAATTGTACCTTTATCATCTGCCATAAAAAACATTGGGTGCCTACTGCTGGAATTTATCAACTCCTCTCTCCTTCTGGTCTGCACCTTTTTAATGGCTTCCAACCAATTTTCCATAGAAAGGCGAATGCGTGGGTGGACTGGGGCTCCTCGAAGACGTTCCATTTTGGCAACCAACGTGATAACCTATGCAACATAATTGAAAGAAACAATATTATTTGAATTGCAGGGCTTTGTCTTCCAAGACACAAATAGTGGGTATGCTCACCCTCCCATGTTCACGGTACTGGTCTACAATCAATCTGTCAACTCTGGATGGGGTAAGAGGCAATCTTGGCACAGGAATATTGTTGGCAGAAGACACCTTCTTGCCTGGATTGTGGCGGGCCAAGTCTGCTTCCGTCTTCTTCCTTTCCTTTTCCAGACTTTTAAACTGGTTGTAGGATTCTTCAAGACGAGCATGCAGCTCATTGGATGGCCCTGATCTCCTACTACAAAAATCAAAGAAACAAATATTAAATTGTTGTCCTTCAATACTTCCTGGTACAGTTTAAGTTATAGTAAAATGGCCAGTTACCTCATTCGGAAGCCACTGCCCCCAACAGATGGAACACCTGCCAATAGAGCAGCTTGGGCTGCTGCATTGTCATAATATGGTGGCAAAAATGGAACTGGATTTCTTCTGTGGAAAATGTCGGGGTATGAAAGGAATTCAAATGGAGGGGGCACCACAGGTGGAAATGGCATAGGCGACATAGGAACAGGAAGTGGATTGTGATGGGAAGGACGATAATTGAAAGGGGAAGGGTTCCTAAAATGATTCCTGTTGCTGCTGATTCCATTGCCATAGTTGCTACTCATAGTATTATTATTTGCAATGTGACTGCAATTGTTGTTATAGTTAAGGCATGATCGGTGATTATGCTTGGTACCATCCCCCATACAGAAATCCTCTTCTTTTTTGCTAGAGCTCATGTGTGGGGCTTGTCTAATAGGTCTGCCCACCTAGAATGTTCAAAAAAAAAAGAAATATGAGTTTCAATCATGGTTGAGAAAGTAGACACCAACTTTAGGTAGGAAAAGAAATATACGCACAGGTGCTTGGCTATAAAGACCTTCCAAACGATTTTGAGAAGATGAAGGCAGATATGGATGCATATTATTCTCATTGCTGAAGTCCGTGTCAAATCCAAGATTGAGGTTCAAATCATATCCACTCTAAAATAGGGAAGGAGAGAAATTGGTATAGATTAAGCATCAACCTAACTCATTCCCCACAACAACAAAATCAATAGGAATATGAAATAAAGACTGCCTACTTTTACCTCTGCAAAAAATTATTTGACAGAACAATTTATTTTCTTAACATACCCCAAAAGCTGATAGAGATTCACTGCATTCTGGAGTACTGGTGATTGAATTGAGATAATCTTCCAATTCATCAGATAAAAGTTTCCCGTTCGAACCAGGAGAGTTGTGTGGGTTGTGCTGGCAGCTATTATCAGTCAATAAATCTAGAAAATAAGACATCAGATTGAAAAATATCTTTGAAGCAGAATCCAACAAAAAGAAAGCTTCTAAAAAAAACTCAAATATTTTGTACCATTGGTATTCAAGCCAGGAGTAGCATCAAATCCATGAGAGTAGGAATAACACTGAGGCGGGGACTGTTGGAGCAACTCATCTGACATTTGTTGCTGCATTAATGAAGTTCTAGGACTCGACATTCGTCCAAAATTATTGCCAAATCTGTCCAGATTGCTAATATTCTGAAAGCACAATTACAGTGTGAATTTGATTTCTTGTAGTAACAACAACAACAAAATCACTTTAAGGCCTGATAAACTTACATAGGATTTATTTTCTTGAGGTGATGCTTCAACATTAAGGTACTTAGTCTTACAGTTTAGTCCCCCATTCCCAAAATCCTGTCAGCACACAAAAGGAACAATAAAATAAATCCCTCAATATAGAAATGCCATACCTTCAAAACCAGATCAACTTACATAAGAATGATTTCCCTGACTACCTCGAGGTGATGCTTCAACATTATGATATTTAGTCTTAGAGTCGTATCCTCCATTTGTAAAGTCCTGTAAGCATACAAAACAATATGCATCAGATTTTCTCTTTTACCAAGAATAGGATGTACCTAAGATGCCAGGCTGACTTACATATGAATTATTTCCATGACTACCCCGAGGTGACATTTCAACATCATGGTACTTCGTCTTACTGTATCCATCATGGTTCTGATCTGGCCACCAGGTGCCATTATTTTTTTCATTGGTTGGAAGGGTATCAAAATTTCCATAGCTGAAAAAAAAAAAAATTAAACGAAGCTGCATGATGTAGACATTACCACAACACAGTGTTGAGAGGCATTTAATATTGGCAGCAAAATAAAATGTCGTTCTCTCACTTGGATCCACATAGGTTGTCCTCTTCAAGCAGTTTGTTCACCATTTGCAGGACACCGTCATCCTCATCGGTCTGAAACAAAGAGAAAGGACAGTGTGATCCAAGTCCAGCGGCCATTTGAAAGGACGACAAAAATGAATCGAGGCTCACAAACAGAACCATGCTCAAAGCAACCCTCCCTTCCCTGCAGGTGCCACCTTCAAGCCACCCCCAAGGCAAAACCTAAGCAGAGGGATCCCCAAGAACCCGAAACCCACTGCACAGAGACCTAATCACAGCTCCATGCCCTGTGGTTCGCTTGAACATGGATCCAGTCACTGTCCACCCCGGGCTGCAGTGCAGCCCACTGGAAGTCAGGCCCAGGCTGCCCAGGCGTAAGCGCCGAGCTCACCGCACAGGTTAGGGTCCCCTGCGGCAGGACGCCAGGGCCGGGGAAGGTCTCCGCGGCCAGGGCGGCAGTCCGGTCCAGCGGGACACCAGCCAGCGGCCTGCGAGTCCCGGACACCTCCAGCAGCGCCTGCAGTGCCCCACGGCGGCCGGGATCACGCCCACTTTGAGGTTAGCCCCCCGCTTAAGCGCACCCCCTCGCCCCTCGCGCCGCCCTGCCTGGCTGCCCGCCTGCGCCGACGGTGGCGGCCTGGCCTGCCTCACCTGCTGCTGTCCGCGGGCATGACCCGCGGGGCCGGGGCCGGGAGCGCGCCCGCGATAGGCCGCCCCGTTGACAGTGACGCTGCCCCTGGAGTTGGAGAGGCTCATGGTGCCGGGCGCAGCATCGCCGTGCTCTGGCGGTGGGCACGAAGGTCTCGGTCTTGGAGTCGCCTCGTCGCCGCGGTGCGCTGCAGTGTGCCTGCGGTGCGGGTCGGGTCGCCAGCCCCGCCGCTCGCCGCTACTGCCCTACCGCCGCGCCGCACGCCCCCTGTCCGCCCCCTCCCCTCGCCTCCCCCTCCTCACCCCCGTCCCGTGGCCGCCGCGGCCGCCCCGTCCCGGTCAGCTGGCTCGGCTTGGCTCTTCGGGCTCGCCTCGCGAATCTGGTCCCGACTCGACTCGCGATGTTCGCGATCGCGTTTGTGAGACTCACACACCCACTCGCGGCCGCGGCGCACCGCGGCGGCCCCCTGTCCCAGAGGCCCCCTTTTCGCCCCGGGCCTAGCCTGCAGACTGACGCCGAGGGTTGTTTTCGTCGCTCTATCCCTCTCGCACCTGCACTGTATGCCAATGGAGTGGGAGAGGGACACGGCGACGAAAACGACTCTCGGGATCAGTCTGCTGGGCCGCCTAGGCCTAGACAAGGGCCTCGCCAGGACACCGGTGCCAGGCAGCCCGGCAGCCCGTTGGCCCGCGCAGCTTGCAGCGGACCGATCCCGCGGATCGTTTCCGTCGCTCTGTCTCTCTCGCACTCTTGGGGCGTCCCGTGCGGGAGCAAGAGAGAGGAAAGCCTCGGAGGGCGCGGCTGCAGCGGGGTGGCGCACCCGGTGCAGGGCCCTGCAGGGCGGTGCAGGCAGGGGTGCAGCTGCGACCTGGGGGGGGGGGGGGGCGTCGCGGTGAAAGCCCGGCCTAGCCCGGGCCGGCGTACGCCCACTCCACTAGAATCCTTCACACCAGAATACAGTAGATTCGGGAACTTTAGCGAAGGCCCACTTTTTCCTGACCGCAACCATAACGAAGCGACCTGGCACCTCGGCCAATCGCATCACTCCTCTTCCGCCTACGGATTCCGAGTCGTCTTTGGAGCTCTGTCTCTCTCGCACCAGCGCGGGTGGCCTCGTGAGTGCGAGAGTGACAGAGCGAGGAAACGGACTCTCGGAATCGGTCCCTGCCCAGATCTTAAGTTAGAGCAGTCGTGGAAATGAATGGAAACTGGACCCGCAAAGATGGACCCATGGGCAACCCAGGAGGTGGCTTAGATTTCGAAAAGTTACAAGCGACGCTTCGCGCCATCTTACGACAGTCCATTTAGAGAAGTACACGAGGGGTTTGAAAAAACAAAAATTTTCAAACTTCGAAGACCGAGGATATAAAACTTCAAGTTACGCTCACAGCAAATGGGTTGACTTTGTCACGGACGGCGTGCGATTGTAACTGGATCGAGAACGGAATGAATGAATGAATGAATGAATGAATGCCGCGGGTGACAGCAAAGCGTCTGGCCGTTGACGCGAGGACGCGCTGACCAAGCTGGACGCTTGGGGTAGCGTCCCCGTCGCACAACCATCTCACCTTCTTCAAGAGTGCCGTCAAATTTCCTGCCCACAGTCGCCCCATACTCGTTCGGATCTGCGCTTGTTGCAGTGGATTTCTCAGTACGCCGTTCATTCAAACTGATTCAATCGCCTCTCGCACGCCGGCCGGGTGGGGTCCGGTGTTGTGTTTTGAAGCGGAAGCAAACACTGCAGCGCGGAGGCGCGGGCGGCTCGCCATCGCTCCGCGTGGTTCCGGTCTACTTCCGGTGCCTCCGCTCAAAAGACCGCCAAAACAAGAACCGTCCGCCCGTGCGTCCGCCGCGACAAGTAGTCCACCACGCCTCGGTCTCTCCTCTCCGTTTTATATAAAAAAGAAGACGCGAGGAACTTCGGCCGTCGACGGGACTTCGGCAATGTAGTGAGACACACTCTTCTTGCTTGACTTCATTGACTCATATCATAGTGAATGTGGGAAATAAAAATATTTGCTGTCTCGTTTGTATGCTGTAAAATGTGCAGGTCTGTATTTTGCTCTTCTCCTTACTGAAACTTCGAAAGGCTTTTCGTAAGTACTCGAAGAGTGGAACATTACCGGCAAGCAGTAGCAAGCAGCACCCGCCACGATTCAAAGTCTCCCGCTCCGCTCCACCTCTCCACTTCCGGTCTCCATCTCCGCCACTAGAATGTCTGCTCGCAGCCAAGAACACAAACAGGCAAGATGGCGCTCTTCCACGGGTTGTGATCGACGGCTGAAAAGTAAATATTGTCATTTTTGCGTCGCTGTCAGTCCGCTGGCGAGTCGTCGAGCAGACCGAGGCGAAACTAGATGCCCAGGATCGCCCACTGAGTCCCGAGTGGCATGGAGAAGGTGCCGGAGCACCCCGCGGTGGAGGACCAGGGCGTGAACGTGAACGTGAGCGAGGACGAGGATGATTCCGAAACTGGTGTGGACAGCCACGAATGGCAGGGGGAGCTCAGCAAATGGACCAATTACATCCACGGCTGGCAGTCGCGGTACGTCGTCCTCAAGGGCGGAACCCTCTCGTACTACAAGTCCAAGAAAGACACGAGCATCGGGTTCAGGGGCTCCATCAGCCTGTTCAAAGCAACCATAAAGGTACTGTTTACTCTGGGACTCTCATCTGTCACAGTCATCTGCTTGGTGCTGTTTACTGTCTCAGTTTGCTCATTGCTTGGTTTCTAAGTTCATTGCGGTTTTATTTGCAGCCCCATGAATTTGATGAAAGCCGCTTTGATGTGTCGGTGAATGACAGCGTGTGGTATTTGCGAGCCGCCTCCCCTGAAGAAAAGGCTCGTTGGGTTGACATTTTAGAGACCTACAAGGTACCTTTTGATAGCATCTTTTTAATAATTCTTCATTTTGATTCTTTCACTGCATCAAATTACCCTTGCTATCTCTGTGTATTTCAGGCCGAGTCTGGGTATGGCAGCGAAAACAGCTTGAAACGACATGGAAGCGCTGTGTCGCTTGCATCAAATACTCTCTCCACAGCTTCTACCAGTAGCTTCAAGAAAGCAAGAGGTATGAGTTTTGGCAGACACTGCAAAGATAAGATTTTTGGAAGACATTATTATTTATTGTTTCTCATTTTATTTGATTTCAGGTCTCAAAGAAAAGCTTTTGGAGTTGGGAACTTTCCGGGACATACTGTGTGGACAGATTGATACATTGCAGAGCTATTTTGATGAATGTGCTCACAATACCAGCACGACTGATGGAGGTGGGAACTGCATATTATGTACTAGTAGTTTACTTTTATTTGCACCTGTCTTCTATTGCTCAAAATTCAAAATTATTTTTTCAGGAAATCCCAATCCAACAGCTAGTCATTCCAAAGCCATTGATTTCAAAGGTGAAGCAATGACTTTCAAAGCAACAACTACAGGGGTCCTAACTACTCTTGAACATTGCTTGGAGATGGTTCGTCAGAGTGAAGACGTATGGCGGAAACGTTTAGAAAGAGAATTAGAACGCCGGCGCCGTCTTGAGGAAAATATTCGTCTTCTTCGATGTCATGGACCGAGGTCCTCTGTGCATGCTGGACCAGACTGTGAGGTAATAAAGAAAATTTTGCTGGTAAACATTGCATTTCTGTGTGACAACCGATGTGGAAGTTAATCACAGATGGGAAAATGGAACTTTGGTTCTCTATTCCATAACTTGGTTCAGGTAAAAGAATGCAGCCAGAATGGCCGTTGTGTTGCATGGCCCCTGCTGTGTGAGGGCGAGGGCTTTGACACCGTCTGTTATCACTAGTTACGGCCGCGTAGGCCCCCGGGTGCCTCTGGCTGCCCTGCTGCCGCCGCTGCCACTGCCACTGCCGCCTTGTCGCCGGACCGACCCGGGCCCGGCCCGGCCCGGCGCTGTTGATAGGACAACAGAGGCAGCCAGGCTGGTGCAGCAAGACTGATGCTGCCTAGATAACCAAGCCCTCCCCTCCCTCCAACCTGCTCCCCTTTTACTTTGACCGCACTCTCTCAGGAAGATAAAGCCCAAGTTTGTACGTACTGACTGCTGATTTTGACAAAAGCCTCAGATTTATAAGATACTGCTTCAGACTCCAAACAGTGTCGTTTCCTGGCAACTGTCCCAGAAGCCTCTGAGGTCCAAAGTTAGAAAATAAAAGCAAATTTCAGGAAAAAGTTATTTGTTTCATCTTGGTTTTAAATGGTTTGTTATTGTTTTGATTCTGTAGGAGGGGCCGCACAGCACAATGAATGAAGATGAATTTTACGATGCCATGGAGACAGGACTGGACAAAATGGAAGAGGAGGTGGAATACAGGCATCGTTTGAAGAAGCAGCACAGTGTATTAGCAGCTGGCACCGGCACCGGAAATAATTCAATATCTTCTGCTCATCATGGACATCACATGTGGCCTGAGGTTGGTGTTTTATAATTTTCATGCAGCTTTAGTTTTTCCTACACTTTTTCTCTCTATAATGTAATCTGTAGTGTCAATTGAGTGTGACCCTTTAAGCACCTGTCACTGGTTTTCAGATTGAGCGAGTCACCATGGAACAGATACACTATGCTAGACTCAGTGTGGAGGATTCTGTAGGTGTGTGGCAACTGTTTGCTGAGGAAGGGGAAATGAAAATGTACCGTCGAGAAGAGGAAGTCAATGGCATGGTTATAGATCCCCTGAAAGCCTGCCATGTTGTGAAAGGTGTGACTGGCCATGAAGTTTGTGAATACTTTTTCAATCCTCAGTATAGGCTGGAGTGGGAAGGTTAGTAATCTGTTGTCCCGTCTGCACAACTGTCACTTAATTAATGTTGTGTCTAATTTTATTGAGGTTCTATTTGCTTTATTATTTTCAGCTACTGTTGAAACAACGACGGTATTGGAAAAAATAGCAGACGACACCCTCCTATTCCTTCAAGTGCATAAACGAATCTGGCCTGCAAGCCAAAGGGATGCCTTATTCTGGTCTCATATGCGACATGTTCCAGATGACAAGGATCAGGATGGTCCTGACATTTGGGTTGTCTGTAATAATTCAGTTGACATTCCTGATCTACCGGTATGTTGTTGAGATGATTGTTTTGAAGTAATAATATTTGTAGAAACAAGGGTTTGTCTTGATTGTTAAATTCTCTATGCTCCTCTCAGGCTAATACTGGCAAATGTGTTCGGTTGTACCTTACTGTGTGCCTCATGTGTCAAACATTTGTTGATCCACCAAAAGATGGTGCAAAGGTTACTCGCAATGATCTGACCTGCAAGATCACGTATTGTTCTGTCGGTATGTATCACTATTTTCTTACCTGTCTCTTGATTTTCTTCTTTTATTCAGAGATTTACATATATGCGTCTCCTATTTTCTAGTTAACCCTGGAGGTTGGGCCCCACCAGCAGTACTTCGAGCTGTGTACAAGCGAGAATACCCCAAATTTTTGAAGCGGTTCACAAATTATGTCATTGATCAGTGCCAAGATAAACCTATCCTCTTTTAAATTTGAAGTAAACTGTATAATATATCCATGCCTAGTGAAGCTGTAAAATGTGCGCTTTGATGATGGTTTTATTATTGTGCACTTATAAAATATCTCATTTTTATTTTGATGTGGTGCTTATGCGCTATGTGAAGGTAATAAAAGTCACTTGGTCATGCCATTTACAACACCTGAGCTGACCAGTTACAAATGACTTTTGTGGAATAGTGATTGCTTTGTCATTTTTGACTAGCATTGTGCCATAACAAACACTTAATTAATATCATTGAAGTTAGTTAGGTCCAAATCAGCTATGTGCTTCTCTTTGTGTTGGCTTTTAGATTAATTAAGTTAGGATCAGAAGCTTTATCTTTATGAAGTTATGACTTTCTCTTGAGATGTTGAATTTTATACCAACCCATTTTTATTTTTGAGTGAATTGCATTATGCTTTGGCTTTTCTCTGTTGGATGCAGTGGTTAATATTTTATGTCTTGAGATTGAGCATTGTTGTTGTACTGACAAGTTACCTTTTGTCTTTGTCCAAATTATGTTGCACTTAATTTCATACTCCAGCAATTTTTAACTTAAATTAAACTTTTGTTCACTATTTAACTTGTATCAAACGCATAATTTTCATTTAAATGAATTCTTATTTTATGAGGATCTTTACAATTGTAGCTACTTTTACTGATCTGATACTTGTTTTGAAATACTTGCGGGGCGGTCATAATTCTCATCTTACTTCACTATGGGTAACAGCAATGACTGTGATAAAACATTCTTGTTGTGTGATTCTTTTTTTAAAAACTAAAATAACAATTTACATTTACTTAACATACCCTTCCCTCTTTGTCTCTAAGGATTGTTGAACATGGAAGCCTGTGTTAATGAAACATTTTCTGATTGATGATATGTATAATGTGTGAATATTTTGACTTAAAGTAGTGAACAATGTTTGATTTTAGTTTTGTGAAGACGGGATCAATATTGAACATCCCGACTCTAATAGACTTGTAGCTTTGTTTGTTTTGTTGGAAAATTTTCCGTGTCCCTTGGGTTGATATCATTTTTGGTGCTATTTTCCTCAATTTAGGGCTCAAAGTCTGAGCGGGAACTGTGAGACTGCCCAATGCTAGATATTTGTTTTCAAGTCACTCTTTTTTGATTTGGAGCAAGTGCTGGCTAGAAGCCTGGGGGTATGAATTTTCTTTTTCTCCTTTCAAAATTTTTAAGACTTACAAGCTATTCATCATAATGTTCTGAAAGTAGTAACACTCAGATATTTCCTGTTGAACCCAGTTTTACTTTTGGGGTGGGTGGGTGGGTGGGGGAGGCTTGAATTAATTGAACTTAGATCTAAATCTGTCCACACAACTTTTTGTGCTGATAAACTGCCTTTGCCTGTGTATCATTGTTGTTGCTTCATGTGTAACATTAAACCTTTTACAATATTTCAAGTGGTATTCTCTGCTCTCAAGCCACAATAGTTTAAAATACTCTAATGTTTGACTGCAAGCATCACTATGCTTTATATATGTATGTATCTACACTGTGCAAACATTCCATGGTGTTTTATTTTTATTTAATCCTTTGAGAATGTAATTTCCCTTATGAGCCAAAGAGCCAAGATTTCTGTGTATTGTATAGCCCTTGCACTCAGTCTTTCTGATAAATACAAATGACTCGATGGTTTTCCTTTTGGCATTTTAAAGTTGGCTGTTGACTCCATCAAAGTAAAATCACATTGTTAATGTAAATTTTAAGCCTGGGCTTCTGACTTGAATTTTTATTGTAAATTTTGTAAATTTTCTTCTCTTTGTGAAGATTTGAAATGATGTATCTACGTCTTTATTTTCATTTAGTAAAAATATGTTGCTGTAACTTACAATTTGTACTTCAGAGTCACACTTTGCTTTCCAACTGACTGTTTTCATTACTCTTGTTAGATTTAAACTGATGTTGTGTTTTCCTTTTGTTTTTGAAAATGTGAGTACTAACAAGCATTGTTTTCTTGTTACCTTTGCTCATTTTTCTTGATCTATAAGTCCTTCTTACAGATCTCATCTTATGAGCATCTCCAATATTTGGCACTTCATTACAGATTGTACTGCTTTTTAGAAACTGTTGAGTGTTTCTATTATAAATATTGAATATTATATCTATAAGAGCTCACAAGCCCTGGTATACATGCATATGCATACTTGCCTGTATATTAGGGCTTGTATCACATTGTATTTAAGGTTACTTCACACAATTTGCTAACAATGGTACCTACTGTGGCATTTCTTATTGGGTTTCATTCTTATTTGAGTTTTCATTAAACATTCATTGCTGCTTTCAATACTCTCACAAATATCTTTGCTAGTCGCGGGAATAGTTCGCCGATTTTTTTTTTTTATTTGCTTAAGATGATGATACAAAACTATGATAAATGTGGCTTTTTGCACCTAGTGTGCGTTGGGGCTTCTGTATCATGGGTCACACTATGTGATGATAATCATTAATGATAATTGGATAATTGGGAATTTTTCGTCTGTGAGGCCTTGGCGCAGTGTCTGCTTCGACCTCAACCATTCGAGCGTCTGGCAAACGTCATTACCAACTTTTGTGATAAGAAAAATATTGAAAGTAACAGTGTGTGTAGATCTCTGGAGATGCCTATCATATTCTTTGCTTTGCCTTTGTGTTGTTACTGTTGTTGTTGAAAATCTGAACAGGGTTCTGTATTCTTGTAAAAATCATATGTATATTGTACAGCAATTTATTATCATTATTATTATTTTATTTGGTTACCTGTGTTGCAGTGCATGGGCAATGAATACATCTATATATATATCTATACCCACCAGTCGTTTATTTGACCAATCACTGACCCATTTCCTGCTATGGGGGCCGCCTGCTCGCTATCTGACTGGGGAATGACCTGTGACCGTCTAGCAGCCCCGCCACCCCCGCCGCTGTGCGTGGTCTACGTAGTAGGTACACCTGCCCTTCTTATTGTACACGCGGCTTGCTCGAGGCAGATGCAGCAATCAGGGTCGGCCTGTCGGGCTGGCGGCCTGCAGTTCCATTACGCTGCACGCGGGGTACGCGGGACACAGCTGCGCTCCGCCAGCCCTGCCTGCCTGCCTGGACTGGCCGAGCTGGATTGGCCTCCCCGCCCGAGCAGCCGGTCCTGCACGGACTACCCGCCGTTTTCGGGCCCATTGTCGTTTGTCGTGCGAGACATGAGCGGGTAGTGACGTCATCGAGGCCCTGCCCGCCGTCCCCGCACTGGTCTCGTGTTTTGGGTACTTTGGCCCCTCCGCTCCGGAGCCGGCGCGGCGCGCCCTACGCCGCCAGGGAAGTGGTTCTCGCTGGTCGGGCGGTGCGAGTGTGCGGTGCGTCTGGTCTGCATTACCCGGACAGTCGCCAGTCACCGACCCCGGACGCAACGCCTGGATGGAGGCTGTGTTCGGCCCGGGCGCCAAGCGCTGCAAGCTCTCCATCGAGGAGGCCGGCGTGCGGACCCAGAAGGCCCAGGAGCTCGGCGGTCACGGCCGCGACGAGGAGTCCGTCAACATGACGGCGTGCCCCGGGCGCGTCCTGCTGCAGCACGCTGGTGCCATCGCAGGTGAGGCCAAGAGTCGCTTTCGTCGCGCTGTCTCTCTCGCACTCGCAGGACGTGCCGTCTAGGTGCGAGAGAGACAAAGGCCTTCTTGTTCTCCGCAGCCGCCAACGCGGGCACCATGGTGGGGCTGGCCTTGGGGTGGAGCGCGGCCGCCCTGGAGGTGCTGCACGGCGCGCAGGGCTTCCCCGTCACGCTGGAGCAGTGGTCCTGGGTGTCCTCGCTCATGCCCATCGGGGCCGCCGTCGGCGCCATGCCCGCCGGCAGGCTGGTGCAGTCCCTGGGCAGGAAGGCCGTCATCCTGGGCCTGGGGCCCGTCACCCTGGCCGCCTGGCTGCTGCACCTCTGGGCCTCGTCGGTAAGCGAAGCGAGGGCGCCGTCGAGGAATCCGTCGTGCAAGGGCGGATCCAGAGGGGGGGCAAAGGACATTCCCCCTTGTGCCCTAGGCACCCCTCCACTGCAAGTCCGCTGTCCGCCTGTAGGTGTGGATGCTGTACGCGGGCAGGCTGCTGCTGGGCGCCGCCGTCGGGGCCGCCATCGTGGCCGCCCCCATCTTCGTGGCCGAGATGGCGCAGCCCGCCATCCGCGGCGCCCTCAGCACCTACTTCCAGATCCTGCTGTGCGTCGGCATCCTGGCCGTGTACGCCTGCGGCAAGTTTGTGAGTAGGGCCCACTGGTAACGAATTTGAACCCGACTTGTTCCTTGATTCACCTTCGCTTGATTTGCATCGTGCAGCTGCCGATATGGTGGCTGAACGTGTGCTGCCTTTCCACCTCCGTGCTGCACGTGCTGGGCTTCGCCTGGTTCCCGGACACGCCGCGCTGGTACCTGCTGCGCGGCCGCCCCGAGGACGCCAGGAAGGCCATGCTCTTCTACCGCGGCCCGCACTACGACGTGGACGCCGAGCTCCAGCAGGTCCGTGAGGGCATCAAAGCCTCGGCCAGGCCGGCCAAAACGCCCAACGGCCGGCCCCGCTGGGATTCGAACCTCAACCACCCGTCGTCCGGGTCGGAGAGCGAGCCGCTCCTCGGCCTGAAGGGCGAGAGCCCGGCCCGGGACGGTTGGCGGGCCCTGGCCTCCCCCATCGCCAGGAAGACGATGGGCATCTGCCTCGTACTCGTCGTGCTGCAGCAGATCACCGGCGTCAACGCCATCACCTTCTACACCACGCAGTTGTTCCAGGTGAGTGGGGGGAGGGGGTAAGGGGGACTCGCTGGCTCTTGCTAATCTTGTTGTTGCGCAGGGGGTCGGCGGCTTGGACGCCTACTCGGCCAGCATCGTGGTGGCGAGCGTGGAGGTGGTGGCCACGCTCGTGTCCATGTACCTGGTGGACCGCGTCGGCCGGCGCGTGCTGCTGCTCGTCACGGGGGCCTTCATGGCGGCCTGCACGGGGCTGCTGGGGCTCTTCTTCTACCTGCAGGAGGGCCTGCACCGCGACATGGCCGCCGTCTCCTGGACGCCGGTGATCCTCGTCAGCGTCTACATGTTCATGTTCGCCTGCGGCTGGGGCCCCGTCACGTGGGTGTTCGTCGGCGAGGTGTTCCCGGACAACGTCAAGGGCCTGGCCACGGGGCTGTCCAGCACCACGGTGTGGCTCTTCGCCTTCCTCGTCACCAAGTTCTACCCCGGCCTGGCCCTCGCGCTGGGCAACTTCGCCTGCTACTGGGCCTTCTTCGCGCTCTGCGTGGCCGCCTGCCTCTTCGTCGCCCTGGTCATGCCGGAGACCAAGGGCAAGTCCTTGGACGAAATCCAGGCACTTCTCTGACCGTCTGCCGTTCTGTTTGTTGTTATTCAAGTTATCTGTGATTAAAATGCAAGCCGTCCCGCCGAAACTTTTGCAATCTACTTTCTCGACAGCATTTCCATGGCCTACAAAAATTCGCGCCTCTCGAGCTTGGGAAGCGGACACATGTTTTGTAACAACACCAACCTACACGAAAGAACAGTATCAATGTAAGGTCGACGATGGCCACAATTTCGACGTTCCTCTCCAAGTTTTCAACAAAAATTCTAACAAAAAAGATTATTTCAACTCATGCGCCTGAAAAACAGTGATAGAATAAACATTTGCTTGGCCTCGTTTTCGCCGTCGTTGTGACCAGACTGGACCGATGTGTTGTCGGGCAACTTGGCAACGCCGCAAAGTCCGGGTTACATTCGCGTCCGCAACGACGCGAGAGCGCAGCACCGTCGCCCCCAGATAGCGTGCGACGGAGCACCGCCATTTCAAAAGGTGGCTGTTTCTTCGTTATTAATGTACTTTCGTTAGATTCTATACTATGTTTGTCTGTGACTTATCTCTACGGAGCTAGGTCCTGACCCAATGAGCGTGATTTTAGCAATTCTAATTTGTAAATTAATATTTAGCCACTTTTCCCTCCTCCCGTGTCAGCGCTTTGGGGCAACGCCACACGCCACGGGGCATGGCGCGGACCGACAACATGCCGACTAGGGTGGTCTGGACGTTCTTTCTCATCTTGCCATTAGAAAGGCACTGATACAAGACAGCGTTTTCTACACCCAGCGCATTTATTTTGAAGTCACACCCATTTATTCACTTAAAGCGCAATATACGAATAAAAGCACAAATCTGGCCAAACAGGAATCCAATTGAAACCGCTGCTCGTCGCCGCTATGTTTAGTTCCAGTCAGCACCAGAGTCTCTGACTTGTTGCGACGCGAATCAGTGGGCGCGGGTAACGGCTCTGCTTTGCTTTGCCTAACCCTCGCTAACAATGTAAACAGCGCACCGTGACGGGAAAGGTGGCTGGGAAAAGCTAAGGGTCCCTCGTTTTTTTTATCCCCCGGGTTCCCGGTTGTTCGGTTTTGTTTTGTACCGTGGTCGCTGTTACCGTCCCAGCTAAAAAGTGTTTTCTACTACCCCTACAATGGTTTATCGAGGTTGGAAGGCGTATATTTATTGACAGGTGATTTGAATGTTATTTAGCAGCAACCTAGTCGTTTGGATCGGAGTGCGCCTCACGATTCACGAGCGCTTCCATCGGTTTCGGATCAGCAGCTCCAAATAATTTTAAGGAGCTGCATTGATCCATATATCACTGCTAAAACAAAGAAAAAATGAAAGGAAAAAAACACAAAGAAACAGTTACATTTTAAAACCACATAACATATCATTCGTATTTCTTTGCTTTAGTCATGCTAGATGCTTCAACTTGTTGGCTCGAAATCAAGCAGCACAAACTACACGCTTCCTATTTTCTACTGGAGCAAGATACCTTGTTTAACTTCAGCAGATGGGAATGTGCATATCGCTTTTATATCCAGTGAGATGACCATGGAGTGAAGTATTTTCTCACGAAGTGTCCCTCATCTTTAAAAAGTATTTTCTCACAAAGTGCCCCTCATCTTTAAAAAAGAATGTTCCTCATGTAACCCCAGATTCGTTGTGTCCTTTTTAATACTTTAAATCTCGGTGTGGCATGAGTTCGTTGTTTTGTTCACCTTGTGGTTTACTATACCAGGGTAGTTTCTGAATACTTGGTAGTGTGGTGTTGGATTTATCTTTAGTCTTTGAGGTACATCTAATGCCTGTGTGGCAGTTAAACTTCTTTATTGTTGAACTACTCTATCAGTATTTAAGTGTTGTTAATGGTAAGTAACTATTGCTTATATTTAAAATCTAGAAAGAACACAGCTCTTCTTTGGCTCTTTTCTAGTGGTAGCAGGATTAAGGATACTGGTTGGTAAGTGGATCTGTGTACATGAATTGTTGTCGAACAAGAAATGTACTGTGGGTTATCTACAAGGCTTACTAAAATATAGGTTTCCAAAGTGATAATTAGGCTCAGATTTGAAGAGGATCTGACAAGAAGATTCTGTATTAATCTCTAAGTAGGCTTGTCTCAGCTGGATGATAAGTTAAATACCCAATGGAAATTGACTTCTGTGTTTCCTTCGTTCTTCAAAACCTAATGTATCTTGTTCAACATATTATTTTTTGTCAATAAAAGTATTGATGAAGAAAGTAAGAGCATGGTTGGGCTTAAATGCCAATGAACGGTAAGACCTTAAACTCAAAGATTTTTTTCTAAAAGCTTAAACAGCAGGAATTAAAATTGAGAGCCGTTTTAGCATTTTTATTTCTTGATGCAGACTGTTATGGTGACTGTATTGTACGAGTTCTTTAAGCCTTAATCATGGTCATCTCAAATTCTTACATATTTGCCTTTCTTGTTTCAATTACAATTATTAATTAATGTAAATCTTAACTGCTTTTTAATTTACCTCGTGAAGCAACTTGTTTTATGTTGGTTTTTTAAAATTTATATCTTAATAAGTATTCAAGTTGTGGGTTGTTCCTCTGGCAATGTAAAATATAGATCTAAGTTATGCTGAAGTGAAGAAGTTGATCTGAACTTTCCTTTCTTGATTTGTTTGTTTGCAGTGTGATTGAGAGAGTTCACTTCATCTGGATCACCATGAGTCTTCACTAGTGTATTCATCTCGCATACCTTATCAAAATGGAGGGATATTTCAATGTGTCCGGTTCAAACAATGCTTTTGATGATTTTGATATTGAGGGAAAGAAATCATTTGACATGGTTGAAAAGAAAAACACGAATTTTAATCACAAAGTACGACCTATGCAGCTTATTGTTGAATCCAAGCAGAATTTTCATCTAGCATTTTGTAATATTGCACCAATTTTTTTTTCTTGACTGATTTCAGCCTAAGGGTGATTTAAATGACAAGGAGCGCCTTCTGAATATAAAAGTGGATCTTGACAATGGTGCTATTGGCTATGTATTCACTGTGGTTGGCACAGGGTATAATGCCCAGTGGAAGTGCCATGTGTGTGACATGGTGTTCATGGGAATCAAGAATTTGTTGTTCCATGAAAGAAGCATGAACCATTCATCACTCATGCAGTCTTCTAAACATCATGCCACTCAGTTCTTAAAAGTGGAGATGAAAGGTCAATATATGGGCGTAGAGAAAAGTTTATATTTTTAAAATGATGATTTCAACAGCCGTAAACATTACCCTATTTTTTCTCCAATGCAGAAGGAGAACCAGCTCCTCCTGGGGTGGATGAAGATGAGGAACCAGAGCCTCCGCCACCGACCAACATCCAGCCCATGCTGGATGATTTCAAATCCACACCTTTGATTGGTCTTGAGTATGTTGTTGAACTAAGTGATGCCTATGAAAAGGAATCCACCTATGTTTGCATGCTGTGTGACAAAAGAGGGGACCCTAGGACTGTAATGGCACATTTAGTGAGCTACATGCATCGCCTTAAGTATTTGGTGAGAGGATTATTGTGTGATCGTGAAGTGGAATTTTTGATGCTCTGTACGGCAGTTAAATTTTATGGGCCTCTTTTCACCTTCAGGAACGGCACTTTCCAATCACATATAATGCCATCAATTCTTTGCCAAAAACTATGGGTGCAAGGAAAGGTCTGTCTGAAATTGTTCTTCGAATTTCTACTGAAATGGAAGAAAAGTTGGGAAGACTGCGTCCTATTGCAACAGATGCAAGACACTTTGATGACAATCGGTTCAACTTGATGTGCACCATCAACAAGAGCAAACATTTCATGTAAGTATAACAAAAAAAGCCCATTCCAATGGGCATTGGCTGTAGTGCCCTGATTTCTGTTCTTATCAAACATTTTTGGTTCTAATGTCTTAATTTTTTTAATTTTCAGTGAAACTCCTGATAATACATTTGTGCACCTTGTGGACCGTGAGCTTTTGACAGCTGCTGCTGCCACCAAGATCGTTATCAGTAAATAGCAATGTTCTTTTTATCTAATATTAATTTCATTTGTTTAGCTGTTCCATGTACAGAAATAAGAAAGGATTTTTGTCTTGTGTTACCTTTAGAAATACCTCCAGAGATTCAATCTGCAAAAGCCGCCGAAAAGCCGAAGCAACAGCCACAGAAAGGTCCTCAAAAAGGTCAAGGAAATGGCCCTCAGAAAGGTCCAGAAACGGGCCCTCAGAAAAGTCCAGAAAAAGGTCCTGAGAAAGGTCCAGAGAAAGGGCCAGAAAAAGACAAGAAAGAGGAGGATGATGAAATTGAGTTTCAAGGGTAGGCAGATCACATGCACAGTTTTCACTAAATATGGTTTCCCCTTGAGGCATTTTAATTTCCGCATCCAACAAATTTCAGGGCGTTTATCAAAGGTACACGTGTTCCCTTAACTCGTCAACTTCGTGTTCGTAAATTATCGACAGAGGCAGAAGATAAAAATACTGCAGCTGGAAGCAAACCTGATGTGAAAGATGGTAAGGAGTAAATTAATTGTTTGTTTGTTTTCAAGACAAAAACTTTGTGAAATGTTGTGGTTTTTGAATTTTTTTGTTATGTATAAATATTGTTGATATCAAGCCAAGTCATTTGAATATCCGACTCTTTCTTCATCAGTGGCAGGAATTAAGAAAGAAGATGATGCTAGATCAATGTGCTCGCTCTCATCCATATCAAGTGCAAGTTCAAGTCTCAGCCCAAAAGACTCTCGGTCTAGGAGAAGAAGTTCTTTATCTCGTTCAAGATCGCGATCAAGGTCCGGTTCCCGCGCACGACGTAGAAGACGCTCAAGATCTAGATCTCGCTCTAAGGGGAGATACAGGCGCTCAAGGTCAAGGTAGGTCTAAAATATTACCTATTGAGTGTTGGCATTTTCTTTACCTTTTTCTCATTGAACTTAAGCTTTTTTTCAATTTATTAGGTCCCTGTCGAGAGGTAGGCGCTCGCGGTCGCCTTATGGAAGGCGTCGAGCTAGAAGTCCTCGTAACAACTACAAAAGAGAGGATGACAAAAAGCGCAGTAAAGATAGGCAAGTTGTCTGACAGTGTGATGGGTGTCACTGACTGTCTTGTAGTAATGTGTCCTTGAACCTCAGTTTCATTACATGTACCCCATCTCTTACCACTATTTGTTCCTCTCAGGGTGGAAGATGACCTGCAGCAAGAGAAAGTCAGGTGGGAGAAGTTCCGTGAGGAAGTAGCTATTGTTGAAAAGGAGATGCTTGAGATCCTCTCTCAGCATGAAAAGAATCCGGAGAAACATCCCAAGTACCCGGAGGAATGGAAACTGTTCTGGAACAAGCGCTACAAGGTAAAGTGGCCTAGTTTCCAGGAGGGGTTTGAGGCTTGTGGTGCAGCAGCCTTGACACCTTGCTGAACCGCCTTGTTGTTGCAGGAGCTGCAGGTGCTCGGCAAGGACCCGAACAAGCACGACTTCAAGCCCGAGTGGATCGAGTTCTGGAACCGGCGCATGCGGGAGCTCCACGAGATGGACTTTACGAAGCGGCGCGAAGAGCTGCGCGAGAAGCTGGGGCTGCCGGCCGACGAGGCCAAGCCGCACTTCAACCGCCGCAAGAAGTTCATCCGCGACGGCCCGGACGGCCCCACGCCGGGGAAGGCCCGCTCGCGCTCGCCCAGCCCCTGGGAAGAGGGCCATGCGGGCCACGGCGGCCACGCTCAGGGCGCGGGCCAGGGCTTCGGCCACCCGCGGGACCGCGAGCGCGAGCGTGAGCTGAGGAACCGCGACCGCGAGCGCGAGCTGGACCGCGACTTCCCCTACCGCGGCGGCGTGCCGCCACCACGCCAGGACTGGCGCGAGCGGCCCACCTCCATCAACGTGCTGCGCATCCTCACGGCGCTGGAGCAGCAGCTGGGCTCGCTGGGGCCGCGCGTCAACGGCGTGCTGTCCGAGGCCATCGCCCTGGAGAAGCAGGCGCACGGCAACTCGGACGCGCTGCTCCGCGACACGAACGTGGTGGTGCTCTTCGAGACCGTCAAGGAGAAGTTCAAGGGGCAGCTGCTGGCCGGCATCGTGGAGCGCAACATGGTGGCCGCCACGCGCAACGCCATCAACGCCGTGTCCGACCTGCTGTACTACGCGCCCTCCCTCCTGGAGAACATCCCCAGGCTGACCCCGCCCAAGGTGGAGCCCACCGTGATCCACGTGCCCACGCCCGCCGTGCCGACCGTGGCGCCCAAGCTCCCCGTGGCCCCCAAGCCCGCCGTCGCCAAGGTGTCCCCCGCCCCCGACCCCGTGACCGTCCCCGGCGTGGGCGACGTGGACAGGATGGCCATCGCCAAGGAGATCGCCACCGCGCTGGTCATGCAGGGCAAGACGGACGTGTCCCAGGAGGAGCTGGAGCAGCTGGTGAACGCCGTGGTGGGCATGGCCCAGGCCAAGGCCCAGGAGGCCGCCCCCGCCCCCGCAGCGGCCCTGGCCCCCGCCCCCGCCCCCGCGGCCCCCGCCCCCGTCGCGCCTGTCGCGGCCGCAGCCCCACTGCCGGCCCCCGCGGCCCCGCTGGCGGCAGCCCCTGCCCCTGTGAGTGTGCCGGCGCCGCGCGAGGCCCCCGTCGTGGCCGCGAAGCAGGTGGGTACGGTTGGCTGCCGGCCTCCTGTCTGGTCAGTGGCGAGTGTTTGTCACGCTCTGTGACAAACTCTGCTCTGTCGGTGGAGGTTGGTCCAGTCATTTTATCGTTTCCCTGCTTCGCAAGGGAGTTGGTCATTAACGGGTGCTCTGTTATCTTTCGATTTAAATCAAATTTCCTCATTGATAATTTGGTTTTCTTTTATCTATTGCAGCAAGTTCCTGAGATAACTGGCCTGCAGCTGCTGATGTCCGCTTATAATGCAGATGAATCGAAAAACACAACTGTAGCATCGCAGGAGAAATCTAGTGCATCATCAGCGAAAAAAGTAGACCTTTTCAGTTTAGATAGTTTAGTTCCACAACCGCCTGCTAGGAATAAGTCCCCTAGCAAGTCGGCTGCTGAGACTGCTGCTCAAGCAGTGGATGCTTTTGTTGATGAGTTAACAGAGACGGATCTGAGGCTTCTACTGCAGAGCTTTAAGGATTTACCTTTGGATGAACAGCATGGTTTAATTAGGTATCTTAAAAAGTTGGAAGCAACAGACCCTGTCAGAGTGGAAAAGTTGCGCAAGTATGTTAACTTAGGATCTGCTCCTGCGGCTCCTGCCTCAACAGTAGTACCAGCTGAGAAGCTTCAAGCACTCGCCAAAGTAGGTCAGTCCGGAAGGCTGTCACCATTTTCATCAAGACATCAAAGTCGCAACCCAACCCAGTCGGAACCAAAGAGACCGGCATTGAAATTGGATTCGGATTCAGACGATGACTACAGTTTTGATGATGTGTGCAAGGCTGCTAAGAAGAAAGTTTCTGAACAAGAAGCTGCTGAGGCTGAGAAGCGAAAGATTGTGGAGGAAAGAGAAGAAGAGAAAAGAAGACAAGAACAAGAAATAATGAACAAAAGGATTCAAGAAGAGAAAGCCAAAGCAGAGCAGGCCATTAAAGAGCTGGAAGATAGAGAAAGAGAACAGAGGCGAATAGTGAAAGAAAAGGAAAGGCAAGAACGAGAAATTGCAATGTCCATGGGAGCCGCCAACTGGAATGCCCTCAATTCAAATAATTCAAGTGTACCTGGGCAAAATCCTTCAATACCTCCACCTCCTGTTCCTCCCTCCGTTCCCCCTCCAAACATGCAAAATGTTTTTGGTGCTGGTTTTGGGGATATGTCCATGGGAAATTTCAATGGAGCAAACTCATTTTATCCAGGTACTTTCAACAACCAGTATCAACAAGGGGATGGTTTTGACCAACAAGCTAGATTTTATCCAAACCAACAGAACAATGCCAACATGTACCAACAGGGGGGTCAGTATAATTCTCAGCCAGGATTCCAAGCGTTTGGTAATAACCCCATGTACCCACCTGCATCACAACCAGGGTACAATGGTGGGTATGGCAATCAGTACCATTATTGACGTGATTTACAGATGAGTTGACTTTGAGAAGAGTTATGGGAAAGTGTGATATGGAAAGACTTCTTGGATGGCATGACCCACAGGGAGCACAATTATTTTTTATTTTCATTTTTGCTGCTAAATTGCGTGAGGTCGTTTTAGCAATTTAACATGAAGCCATTATTCATTTCTTAATCTGGATTGGGATATCAGCACAGTGTATAATTATTTTTGAACTTATTTATTGTTTTAAGTTCTGTCATGTATTGAACTGGTATACTGAACTAAAAATATTTTTAGGATGTGTTGTGATGACATGCTCAGAGGTTAAGGTGATGCAAGATTTGGTAGCTAGCGTGAAATACTTGTTTAGTTAAACCAAATGTAGCATGGATTTTATGGCTTTTCAATTGTGTGTTGTTTCAGAACCTCATTTTAATCAATATTCTTTTTCTTTCTGTTGAACTCTTAATTTAACAGGCCCAAATTGGTAGGAATTTTTTTTTGTTCTATTTTTTGCCACTACATGTAACTGCCAAAGTCACATGAATCTCTTTCAACCAAATGAAATTATGATGACAGAATGGTATCCAAATGGCGTTTTCAAGTTTCATGCGTTACTATTTGCTGTTTTTTTTTCACATTCCTTGTAAATATTGTAATTATTAGTTTATAATGATATTAATAAATTTCATTCAATTTCGTGGATTAAATTAGAGTTGAATCACTTCCATGATAAGCAGTGTTTTCTTTCCCTTGAAAGAATTAATTTATGTTTCAACTAGCAATCATATTAGTTGTGACTCATGCTGTTTCTTTTCCAGGAATCATCATCATGGTATACTTGTTCTTTTTTTGATTTGTGATATTTCAGGCTCAGGCTGCATGGTAAGACTACAAGAAGACTAACAGAAGACCCAAAGAAATGTGTCTTTTTATGATGTAACTTTTCACAAAGCTGTGTTCATACTACACTAGAAATGTGAAGCACTGTAATGTTAATCTTAATGACATCAAATAAAGATTGGTTTACTGAACCCCTTTTGTTCATGACTGTTATTAACAATACATAAAAATATAAAAGAAACGCTCAGCTAACTACTATGTCCGTCTGCAAAATTAAGAAAGGTCACATTCGCATTAAAACTTACAAGGAACAAGGAAATTATGAATTTAATGGACTGTCTTGCCGCTCAAAAGTTAATCATTTATTTGAAGGTCTGTTTTTGCCCTTTCATCTGAATGCTTACATAATACAAAGCCACGAAAGAAATCTGTCATTCTAATATGAACACCTGATACTTATTCTGGCATAGAAACGCTTCAGAACCAGTAAACCAGCCAGATGTCTCTCGACACGTGGTGTGGGGGCTATACTCGCTGAGGCAGGCAGCCAGCCGATGAGGAAACGACTCAAAAAGTCATAAGGCGTTTCATTGTGGTGTTGCAGGGACCTGCCTTGGTGCCGGTTGACCCGCCATGCCCCCGTCCCTTGGCTGGCCCCCACCCATCCACCGGGTTGAAGTGAAGGAAGTCATCGATTCGGAGTCCTGAGCTGTCCTCGTTGCCAACAACCACCACCGCCGCTGCGCCGCTCCCGACGCCACGCGCCGATGCAGTCAACTGGTAAGAATTGGAGACAGTTAAGAATCCACTGGGTGAGAGGAAATAGCACAAGGTGGTGTTGGTCAAGCGCCTTGTAGGTAGGCCACCCATCGTGCACCGCCTTCTAAATTCAGCGTCCCCTGTCCCCAGAAGCAATCAGTTGTGGAGATAGGCTTACCAGGTGTTCCTTTTTGTTCTTTACCGTCATTTTTTATTTCAAATTTCGAACAAGAACGGGAAGTGAACGCAACGCCGCAGTGCCCGATGGGCTGCCTACCCCTGAGGCGCTCCAGGGGACTCTGTTCCTGCAGCGATGCTGGAACGCATTTTGCCACTGGCACTTCTGCAAATTACTTCCCGCCTTTGAAGAGAAACCAATATCTGGCCTGTGAAAATAATAACGCTCGTACTCCGGTAAACAGGCCGAAGGCCCATTGTGGGCTGGGGGCAAGTCGAGCCTACCGCGGACTGAGAGTCATTCTCGTCGCTCTGTCTCTCTCGCACTCATGGGGCGTCCCGTGTTGGTGCGAGAGAGACGGAGCGACGAGAGCGACTCTCGGAATCAGGCTGCAGGCAAGCAGTGATTGATCTGTTCTTTGGTTTGTTTGCAGAGGGAGGCAGGACCCCTGGTCGTCCTGGTCATCCAGCCGGTCCCGGTTCTCAGCAGCACGCTGGGCGAGGCCGTCGACGACGCGGCCTCCACCACCACCACCACGAGCGAGATGGAACAAGCTGCACTAGTTGTCGGTCGTTCTTAAAGAAATAAAGGCACATTTCCCGGACTACTTGTTCTCATTTTGACCTCTTCCCTATATCACATTGACAACAAGTTGCCCTGAACAACAAGAGAGAGGCAAAGAAAGACAGGAAATGAAGCTAAACTCATGGAATAGTCAATCCGTCGCACTTTGACGTTGTTGACGCGCGCACACCGCACCGCTGTGTGTAGTGTAGGGGGCAGACTCCGGGCAAACAACCCCACATCCACGTTCGCCACCAAACCGCCCCGAGTTTCGGAAAAGAGGGAAGGATTTGGAGGGGAGGGGGAAGGGTCCCACTTTGAGCTGTGTTCAGTTACATCGCTGGGGGGCTTGAGGACTCGGTATTAGTTGATAGTTGTCGGTCTTGTCAGGGCCCGACCAGGCCAGGGCCGCCAGGCCGGGGCTCAGGGCAAGAGAGTTAAACACAAGCGGGGTGGGAGTGGCACTGGGTCCGAGATAGAGCTGATTGTAGCTCCTCCGTTGGCCTGTTTATCGGAGGACAGCACACTGATTCCGAGGGACGTTTTCGTCGCTCTGGCTCTCTCGCGCTCATGCGGCGTCTCGTACTGGTGCGAGAGAGACAGAGCGGCGGATTTGCAGACAGCGATGCAGAATTTCCCCGAGCCCGGGGCAGTCCGTCCCACTCCACTGCAAGGCCCCGGCCCCGGCAAAGCGCGCCGTGCGGTGCGGGACTGCCCTGGACCGCCGCCGCGCCACCAGGCCTAACCTAACCTCGTCGGCAGACCGATTCCGAGACATGTGTCACACCGCCACCACCGTGTCGCTACTCCGCGTGCGAGAGACTCCGAGCGCCGCCGGCCTAAGCGGCCGCCTCCGCGCGTGGGGTATCGCCGGGGTTCTTTCGCGCGCTTGAATCGTCATGATTTAAGCGCCCTGTCTCTCTCGCACTCACGGGGCGTGCCGTGCCCTTGGCAAAACTGAGCAACGCCGCCTCTGGCGGTCGCAGCCCGCAGGCCCTTGGGGACGGATTGCAGGCTTGCAGTGGAGGGCGTTATCTTTATCCGTTAGTTGGGTCCCTGCAGCTTCGCCGCCTCTGCCTGCCTCTGCCTGTGTCTCTACCCCCTTCCGCCGCCACCGCGCGCGCTGGCGAATCAGCCCAGCTCATCAATTGGTCCATTGACACCGGGGGGGGGGGGCAGCGGCAACAACGGGACGCAGCAACAGCAATGCCGGTCTTTGTGCCCGCGGCTCACTTAGCTCGCTGTCTATGGAGTCCTCATCCTAGATGCACAGGGAGAGGGGGGGGGGAGCAAACGCCTCGGAAGTGTGAGTGTGACTAGGGGGTCAAAACAGAAGCATTGCCGGCCGCGTGCCTTGCAAGTGCCTTGCATTGCCTTGGTGGGGATGAAATCATGGAATCATGCCCCACAATCGTCTTAATTAAATTCCGGGGCAGTTTATTGACGTCCATAAACAGGGGCCGGGCAACACGGCTCTCTCTCTCTCTCTCTCTCTCTCTCTCTCTCTCTCTCTCTCTCTCTCTCTCTCTCTCTCTCACTCACTCACTCACTCACTCACTCACGACAGGCCGAGGGTAGGCAACCCAACGGACGACTGCGGACTGCGGTCGCCCGCGCCGTGCGTCCGTCCGTCCACTGTCCGTTTGTTTGTTTGTCTGTCCGTCGGTCTGTCCGCCCGTCCGTCTCATTCCGTATGGCTGTGCTGCCCCTGCCTTTTCAATTTGCTCATGAGAGGGGAAGAAATATAATGGAGTTAGAGAAGTGGCAGCGGCAAGAGAGAAGAGGGTCTCCGTGGCACGACTGGCGCGGCGGGGCGCGGCGGCGTCGGCCTTCTGCATGCGCGCACGTGTGTGTGTGTGTGTGTGTATGTATGTATGTGTGTGTGTGTGTGTGTGTGTGTGTGTGTGTGTGTGTGTGTGTCTGGACGGGTATGCATGGCGCTGCTTGAGCCGGGGAAAGGCGGATTCTTGGTCGGTTTGGAAAAGGGGGGCGGGGGAAGGGGGGTTGGGTGCTGGCTGGCGGATGTGAATGGCTTCGGGGCAAGCCTGGGCAAGCCTGGGCAAGCCCACTCCTTTTCGGCCTTTCGGCCAGGGACTCTCTGACTGACTCTCAGACTGACTCTCAGACTGACTCTCAGACTGATTCTCAGACTGACTCTCAGACGCCGCGGAAGTTGAGACGGGGAGCGCCTACTTAAGTGTACAGTCGCGGAAATGGAAAAATAAAAAAAGGGTCACCTCGCAGCAGCAAAGGCCTATGTGTGGGGGAATCGCATGTGTGGGATGAAACTTGGAAAACACTTCGCTATTTCTATTTTTTTTTCTTTTCGCAGAGTAGCTTTAGGTCTGTCGCACGCGCTAAGTTCGGCGATGATGATGACGCCATTGCCGTTGCCGGGGGTGTGAGCCCGGCGCGGGGCGGGGCGGGGCGGGGCGGGGTTGAGGAAAAGTTCTCGCCCCTTTGGCCGGCTATTACACATTCATAGTCATGGCGTGAGTTTGCGCGGGCCGTCACAGATGGCGCTTCCGTCGTGGACGGGAAAAGGAACCGAGGGGGGGAGGGGAGGGGGGAGGGGGTCGAGTGCGGGGTTCCGTGTGGTTTGCCGACTTGGTCGGACCCAGCCAGCCGCCAGCCAGCCAGCCAGCCAGCCAGGCAGCCACTCTCCGCCAACAATTCGGCACTCTCCGGCTCCTGGCAGCTCCTAGCAGTGGAGCGGAGCGCCTGGCGCGCAGGCCGGCCCGCCGCACGCCGCTGCCGCCGGGTTGCCTACCCGCCGGTTCGCAGGCGCTACGCGGAGAAAGCACAAATTGGCTCAAATTCCACTCAGATGGACACAATTTTCTGTCGGAATTTCTGTTAGAATAGGGAGCAGTCTGCTGCTGCCGCTTACAATCTCCGTTGTTTTCCCCGCTCTTTGCAGCAGAAATGCAGACTGGTCCCCAACCTTGACACACACTGGCACTGGTAGTGGACGGCGTGCAGTCTGTCTCTCTCGCACTGCCGGGCCGTGTCACGTTGCGGCCGTGCGTTGCCGTGGCCTGCCCCCACCCCACCGCCACCCTCGCCGCCGCGCGCGCCGTGCCGGCAGACTGATTCCGCGCGGGAGGCCTCTCTCTGTCTCTCTCGCGCTCGCCGGGCGCGCCGCACGGGTGCGAGAGAGACAGAAGACACCCCGCCCGTCCGGACCCGCCCCTCTCAGGATGGACTTTCTCATGCACGCGCGGATCGCGATATTAGGAGCCCAGCGGCCCAGCCCCATCTCGCTGAGGCACTGCGGCAGGCCGGCCCAGCCAGCCGCCCTCTACAGTGTACACCCTCGCCCGGTCCGGACGCGGAAGTAGGCGCGCCTTCATTTCGGGATCGTCACCAAAAGGATTCATCGAGTAGGCAACAATCTTTCAGAAGAAAAAAAAAATAGACGTTGAACCTTGGACCGACTTGTCACCACACCATCACTTTATCCGCGGGTGCTACACTGTTTTTCAGTTAGTTCTGCCCGAAGCAAAAAAAAAAAGAAAAAAAAATACCCATCATGCCGGTATTTGAACCACTGGGTTTCGGTTCGACGTGACGCGCCTCAACGAGCACGGCCACGCAGTGCACTGAGAACGCGCTGTGAAAGGTGGCGACAAGTCCAGTCACCTGCACGGCGGGGTAAGTCCGCGGAGCGTGGACCCGACCGGGCCGACG